GAGTTAGAGTTATTGAAATTCTAAGAAACGTCAATTTTAGAAGATAAAGTAGTTGCATATCTTTTAAATAAGACAAAAATATTCAATCTGACCTGAATACTATAAGGTAAATGCATAAGAAATGCGGATTTCAACATTTTCATAAATTTCCAACGATAGAAACGTGATGCTATAAACTATTTCCTGATGCTATTTCCGTTAGACTTTTTCAATGAATTGATATATAGTTATCCTTTTTTTTTTGTTTAAATCTTCAATTTTGGGAAGCCAACTCTATTTTGAACACACTAAACTTGTCCCTAAAGTGACTCGATTCCTTTTTTTGCCCTTTTTTGGTCACTCGCATTTCGCTCTCGAAATTTCTTCAATGTTTCGATCAATTGAAACACTTTTCAGCCTATTTTTTAGAGGAGATTTACAGCTTTCAAATAGTTTATAACATTCATCGATTCTAGTTTATAACATCACGTTTCTATCGTTGGAAATCTATGAAAATGTTGAAATCCGCATTTCTTATGGGTGCATCTAATATAAGAAAAAAAGGTTAAGATTACAGTATCTTGAAGAGAAATCTTCTAAAGACATTCTAAGACAAAACCCGGAGTTTTCCAAAGCAAATGCTTGTGTTGATCGATTTTCTTTTGTTGATTGAATAGCTTTTTAGTAAACAAAATCTTTGCAATTGAAGATATTCGATCAACAAAATGAAACCGCAGCTGCTTTACCCAACTCCATGACACATCAGCTGAAATTCCCGGAAATCCAAACCTAGATCCAAACCTAGATCCAAACCTAGCCATTATTCAACCTAAAACCGTACACAAGTGCATTTATTTTTTCATTAAAAAAACTTTTTCTAGATTATGCGCAAATTGTTTTAATTATTTGTTTCCGGGAGACTCTTCTTTCTTTTATTTTTTGCTTTTGACCGCATCTTCTAATTGCTGGGAATATCAACTTTTTTGTGCTAATTACAGAAGCTTTTGAGAAATATGGTTGGAGATCTTTGAGTAAATTCTCAGAAATAGAAAGAGGAAGACTTGAAATTTCAATTTCCCCAAATTTCCTTGCTATTTATTGCTTCTAAAGCTTTGTTGACTCAAAGCTACTAAAGCTAGCTCACTCCTATGCAGCTTAGTGTTTACATTAACTTTAAACTTCTCACTCTTATCATCCAATTAACAAAAGTTGAATTCATTGGGAATTTCCTGAATCTCTCATTTTGCTATCGATTTCTTGTCTAAAAACCTGAGCTCGGGCCATAATGTGGCGGGAAATTTCCCTAGAAATAAAAAATAGAAATAAATTTCCCTCTAATTTTATAGTAGATATATAAAAGAGTTATGTCTGTCTGTCTGTCTGTGCACACTACTTTTCTGTGCCGTCCCGAATGACTTATAGCTTCCTTTCTTGACCCTTTATCATGCCATCATCTCACGGAAAGATTCCCGCGAAAAGTTTCCCGCTGGAAAGATGATGACGTAAGAAATTTCCCCTTGGAAAAAGTCTTCCGCTGGTTTACCGCAGTATTTGCGCGGGAAATTTTTTCCCTTATAAAAATTTCCCCCGGGAATTTCAGCAGGAAATTTTTGGCTTTCCCACCGCTGTTTCCTGCGACATTATGGCCCGAGATCTGATATCATTTACCGTATTTTCTCTAATAGTAGTGCACCCAGAGCGTCGTCTAAATTGCTCGAAATCTCGAGAACCGCTTATCAGAACCTATCGATGTGGGGTCGGAAAATGTAGCTGAGGATGAGAGCTTGTGGGGATTTGAGTGTTGAGCTTCTGGGAAAACTTTGGAAGCGGTAAAATAGTCATTAACTCGGCTCGACGGGGTGCACTACTAGAAAATAATCAGGAAAAAGCATCCTAAAGTTGCTCAAAGATGTTCAACTGATATTCCAATTTTGAATGCTTTAGTTGAACGGAACAATCTAAGTCTACTTTGAGCGTCGCCTAAATTCCTCGAAATCTCGAGAACCGCTTATCAGAACCTATCGATGTGTGGTCGGAAAATGTAGCTGACGATGAGATCTTGTGGGGGATTTGAGTGTTGAGCTTCTGCAAAAGCTTGGAAGCCGTAAAATAGTCGCCAACTCGGCTCACCAGGGTGCACTACTATTAGAGAAAATACGGTATTTTCATTGTTAAATAAAATGACAATGAAATCGAGTTCAAGCTTTCATTTGAAGATATCTGATACAGATTTTCTAATACACTTAATAAATCTACACTAATTTAATCAATCTAAGATTTTGAGAGCTTGTTATTGCTATGGAAACTTTCCTAATGTTTTCTTGAACTTCAAACTTGTTATGATTTTTGAACTCTTTAAAAAGCTGTAATTTCTTCAAAAAAAACAAAGCTTTAGATTTGTTTTTGAATGGTTAAGTACTTGTTTTTTATTAGAATTGTTGAATTTAGAGAATTTACGTACATATTCCAAGTTAAAAGTTTTAAAAAACTGGAGAAAGTCTTTCATTTTATGAATGTTCATCCCGGGTCCAAAGACGCGATTCATATTTTCATTAATCTTTACATTCAATGGAACATTTGCCACAATTCTTTTTATTCTCGTTATTTATATAATATCGACAAACAAAGTGTCGAATGTGAAAGATTACAGAAATGTTCAGCTTACGATATCGGTAGGTTTCTTTGTGGATTACCGTAGCTGCCGTAAGCCTAGTGAGCTAGAGAGTGCAGCTAAGAATCTCTGAAAAGCACAGAAGTTAGCTGTTTATTGTTGCCTGCGCAAAACACACCCTTTCTGACGCACTCAATCTTGTCTCAATGAAAGTTGAGTACGTCAGAAAGTGTGTGTTTTCATGAAAGCTGTACGGCTAAACGAAACAATCTAAAAATTTCTTAAGTGTTAACTATAATTTTATTTCCAAAATTATCTCTGCAGTAGTTCAGCACCAATTAATGAGAAGGGCATCAACACAGTTGATCAGTTGATCCAGTACGATACTGTGCACATCCATAGACTAAATTTAATTATAAACATTTAATTATAAACATTTAATTATACCAAATTAACTTACGAAATTCTGTAAACAAAATAGTCCTCTTCTCCAGCAAACAAAGCATCGAGCACATTTCGTTGTTGGATTTTCGCCAATAGCCAATAAGAAAACAGATACAACCCAAGAAATCGCAGAAGACAAATCTAAACGTAACAGTTTGAACAAAATAAAGATGACAAAGCCTCGTTTCAGATCTCACTGCAAATCGGTGACATAATCTCTTGCCTAACCCATCCGATCACTTGTTCTCCTCATTTATCCGCTCTATTCCTCACTCCATTCCAAATGCCTTATCTGCTGAAAGTGACAGTACTGGTAAGCTGATCAAAGTACATTTTGCATATATAAAGTGACACAAAAGTTCGGAGTCACCTCGTTTTTCGGGGCCAACAGAAAATCAAGAGATTTTTTGAAAAACCCTTTGAATAAAGCAAACAACCTTAAAGGCATTCATTCAGTAAACGGGCTAAATGAGCTAAAACACGAAAATCGGCAATACAAAAGGTAATTAATTGTTTAGATCCCAAATTTGGGGGTAGGCTAATTTCCGCAATTTTTTTGGCGCAACAGGATCATTTGCCATAACTTTCTTCTAAGTCGGCCAATCTTTATGATTTTGGTTTCATTTTGTTGCACTTATTGAGATCTACAGATTGAAACCAAAATCATAAAGATTGGCCGACTTAGAAGAAAGTTATGGCGAGTTGCGCAAACGACCCAGTTGCGCAAACGACCCAGTTGCGCAAATGATCCAGTTGCGCAAATGATCCAGTTGCGCAAAAAACTTGGCGCAAATTAGCCTACCCCCAAATTTGAATTTGGTGTCGAATATTCAGCAAAGGCTAAGTGATTGCTGCTCCAAGATCACCTCGCATTTGCGAGCTTATCTTGGAGCGAGATAACCTCGCATTTGCGAGCAATAATGGAGCTCAAAAAGCATTACTTTTATAGGAATTAACTCTAAACGTATTAATTCAGAAAAAGATGGAAAAAGACGATTTTTTAGAGACCCAAAACTCGAATTGAACTGTTTTTAGCATCATGCCACAAAGGATTTTTGTGCTGCTTGGCTAGGGTTGTCAAAGTCATTCAAAAAAAATTTTACTGTTCTTCTATTCTATGTAAAATTATGATAGATTTTATGATTAATTCTTGCTTTTCAGCTTAGGTTAATCTATTGTCTTAGAAAGTTAAAAAGATGCATTATAATAGGTTGATGCATAAGTCTTTTCGTTTTTTTCGTACTTCTGTTAAAAAGTAACAAATTCACCAATTAATCTATAGTTTGCTCTATCAAAAAAGTGTTTTTTTGTTCAATTTGCATCTTTTTAAATGAATTTCGGTTCATTTTCAAGCAAATTCGAGAGTGAAAAACGCCTTTTTCGTAAAAATCTATAAAAAACTCTACGGAAAAATTGGCTGAATGAATTTCTCTGAAATTTTGGCGAAATATCAAACGTTTTTTTTCTCTATCTTTTATCTATTGACACGAAGATAGGTTTTCTTTAGCTAAGGTGTCTAAACAGCATCTTTAGCTAAGGTGTCTAAACCGCATCATCGAGTTAGCCCTTTTTGACTACCCGACTTCATACTCTCAAGAAAATCCAGGCATTAAATATTTTTAAACCCGTTTTAATGTTATTTTGCAGAAAAATAATTGGTTTTTTTAATGAAATCAACCGTAGTTTAATTCGTGCATTTGTTGGCTTGAAACGGCAGACGAAAAGGAACAAAAACACTTATGCATCAACCTAATATTTGCATGTCCTTCACGTTCATCCCAATCTTTAGAGCCTTTACTTACTCAACATCGCTTTCACGATTGGATTCGTCTATTATTCGTTATTTTATCGACTTTTTTCTCTTGATCCAAATCGGGAAAAGTATCTAATGTCTATCTTTTGGAAAATATTCATAGTCTTCATTGGATTGTCAGTTATTTTTTGTGGAGGACTTGTGTGGATTGCAATGTTTACTGGAGCTTTGTATGGACCAAACGAAAATGTCAGTTTTTTGTCAGATACACAATTAAACAAAAAAAAGACAGAAAGTTTACTTTAAACACAAGAAAATTCTCTTCATTTACCCATTATCGGAAAATTTTCTAGATCAAACAAGATCAACCATACTCGTCGCTTGTAAACGAAACAAACTGGCTTCTTTTCAAAGAGGATCCTGGATTTCGCACATTTTTCATAGTCATGGGCTCATTTATCACAACTCTTGCTATCGCTTTCCTACTTGTTTCCACAATTCTCATTGTTCGATATACAAAATATCATGTACGATTGATTGGATTTGGCTTGGATAAGAACAAGATCTTGGATAAGATAAGCTTGGATAAGAAAAAGATCTTCTCGGAAATCGGGATCTTGTAGCAAAATACGGATCTTTTCATTGTGAAAAGCTATCATCTGCAAAACCCGAAGCCAATTCAGACTTTTCTTAAGACAAAGCGTTGAAATAAACCCCGCCAATAGGTTCTACGACCCTGAAAACACCAAGGCCCAAATTTTTAACATTAAATCTGATTTGGGAATCATTTACAGAATAAAAGAAAATCACTGTGTAGTGACTGTCGAGGTGTTCTTTGTGCGGATGTGTAATCGCTCATGACCTGGCAAACCCCTTCGATATATAGCGCTTCCTTTGGAATCCATAAAGGGAAAGGAACTGAGTCGGCTTCACCTTTTAGATAATAATCCTTGCGCTAAAATTGGCCGATTTCTAATCCACCTGCGTCGGAGTGGCTTAAATTTTGATCCTTTTTGAAAGGTATTTGAATGAGTTACGTGTTGGAAGAGCCCGAATACAAGCACTAGATGTACAAAAGAAGAATTCCCTCACTATGCTCAGCCTTTCCCAATGAAAAGATCCGGATTTCCGAAAGAAAAGAATATTCAGGGTCATTTAAGCAGCCAAAAAACGCAATCGCTGCAAAGATCGTTTCTCCGGATTTTATCACTTCAGGTATTTGCCTTGAAAGTTTTAAAATGCGACTTTTCCTGGATTGGTTTTAGTTTAGAATAATTCAGAATTCTAGGCTTTTTCGGCTGGCCTCTTGGTTATGATCCCAATGTCGTTGACAATGCTTTCTCATGCCGGAGTCTCGTTTGTGCCAGAAGAAAGTAAGAAAGAAATGATTTAAAATTATTCCAAAGCTATCAAATTTTGATAAAATCAGTTTTCAGTTGGCGGAATCGGTTGCCTTTTGGTGAGCTGTCATTCGTGGGTCAACTCGTTGATTCTCTTATTCAGCACTCGATTTTATCGAAAGCATCTGATAGATGGGCTATTGAAAGCGCCATTGCAAGGTCGTTAGCTCAACATATCCTAGCAACTAATAACTTTAAATAACTAATATCAATTTGCAGTAATCAGTTTACCTTTTAGGCTTGTTTAAGCGCAAAAACGCGATGTGGACTCCGAACATTTTACACCTTCAAGTACCACCAAGTTCTGCCCGGGAACGCCCGACTTCTCGCTGAAAATTATACACCAGATTTTCAGTGATAAATTGATTGTTTTTCTTGCCTCTATTTAAGCTACAGTTTACTATAGCTTTAGTTTACTTTACTACAGTTTACTACAGTTTTACTATAGCTTTAGGAAAGAGCTTTAAAATGTGACTTTTCCTGGATTGCTTTTAGTTTAGAATTCAGAATTTCTGATGATTCAGAATTTCCAACTGATCGGATTTCTTATCCCGAAGTCTATCAGCCTTTCTATGATATGTTAAAAGAAATTCTAAAGACCTACATGAAGATGACTGTTTTTATGAATATTTGTCTTCAGGCAATAACCATACGATGACTTGAACTTGATTCAATCGATTCAATCGATCGATGAATCGATTCAAACTTTCCTTGGCTCTTTTCTGTTATCCGAGGTTTTTGCAAAGATGTAACATCTTTAAAGCTTTTTTTAAAAGAATTTTGACTCTCTTTTTGATTTTTGAGATTTTTCATAACGAATTTATTAAAGTAAACAGTAGACAGAGAAAACAGCGAAAATTTTCATCCACAAAGGCTAGTAGAAGTCTCCAAAGCGAATTCTTGTCGTAGAATTGGCTCTATTTTTTGCTTCCCCAGCTTTATAAATTAAATTTTTATTGAATATTGGGTTTTCTTTCAATATTTTTTCTTGTAGGTTGAACTTACCTCATTTTTGATTTGCAAGGAAATGTCTGGGCTGCATCGAACCCAATTAACCATATGTTGAACCGAAATGTAATGTATTGTGTTTGATCAAACTAAACAAAAACTTCGTTTTAAGTTTTCTAGTTTAGAAAGTTTTAAAGATTTTTACACACTCAGAATTTTTGTTCATAAATCCCTTAAACACCGCCGCTTGGTCACGGATTTAATCGAATCTTTCAAAATTGTAAAGGGCAGACAACCTATCCCTCTTTTTCGAAATTTATTCAAAGTTAATTGATGGTCCTCCCAGATCTCTGGGAGACCTCGTTCGCAGCAGTAACTCCAGGCGCAACCCATTGCCGTTTCCTTTGAAAGTTTACAGTTGCTATGATCCACTTTCCATCTCCCGTGAGCCTTTAGTTTATAAATATTCACTACTCGTTGCTAGTTATCAATGATCACTGAACTATGCTACAGTAACGGTTAAAATTATACCGCGCTCTAGAAAAAATGATCCTATTTTGAGGGGTTGTAAATTTAGATGTAATCATCGTATATATAAGTGCTATATATTAGGTTGTCCAATAAGTAATGCGTGTTTTGACACGATTTTCAATCGTATTAATCGATATATTCTCCACAACAATCAACAACATTTCTCCATCATCCGAGCAAAGAGTGAAGTCCGTCATAATAGAATGAAGCTGGTTTCGATGAGAAGAAATTCCAGCCTTCCAGCGCGTTCCTCGTCCTCTAACGACTCGTTTCCGTCCGCAAATCGTTTAAACCAGCGCTGGCACTGACTGATTGAAATTGAATCCTCTCCAAATGCGGCACAGATAGTTCGATGGCAATCCGCTGCAGTTTTACCTCGTTTGAAATCATACAGCATTGATGCGTGGACAACAAACTTTTTGTCTTTCATCTGCAAAACAACATATCTATTATAAAACAAAGGCAAATGAATAAAATAATATATAAAAATAAACACAAGATGCTGCTGATTAAAAAGAGCATATATTTGCTCGAAGCGATTTCGCAATAGTTTCGAAATAAGTAACACGCATTACTTATTGGACAACCTAATAGCATCTGAAAGCTCTCATTCAGCTCTACAAGATGTACTATAACACTTTGAGAAATAGTATTTAGTAAGTACTTACTTATTATTAAAAGAAAAGTATTAGATGGTTGTCGTTGTTGTTGTACTCGTAGTTGTGGTTGTGATGGTTGTGGTAGTTGAACGAGTGCTAAAACAGTTCTAGGATCAAATAGCAGCTCTGCAACATACGTAGTCGTGGTAGTTGTGACCGGAGTTGTCGCTGTCGTTGAAATTAGCATAGAAACATTTCATGATCCAGATCCGAATCCGATTCGGAGTTTAGGATCTAGCCATGTTCTGGAGCCTGTAAGCCGGACCAGCTAGATTCAAGTCTGACTTCTGGCAGGCAAGCAGGCAGGGGCAAAAAAGATTTCTTGTCATATCTAGAAAGTAGGGCAGAAGCGATTGAGGATCTCTTTCATGGGTGAGCGGTATCCATTGCCTGCCTGCCAGTTTCCATTGCCGTTTCCGGTTTCCATTGCCTGCGGTTTCCATAAATCGGTTTAAAACCTATGCAAATGGTTTATAGAAGAACCCAACAGCATCTGCTATTTCACGAATTGAAATCCGAGGGTTTTCAATGAGTTTTCTGAATAATTTCTTTATTTTTTAAATGACGCTGGATGCTCTTTGTCTTCGAGTGAAATCCCTCCTTTTTTAAACTCAGCAAACCAATTTTGAATTGTATTTGAATATGGTGAGTCATTTCCATAAATAGTCTCAATATTTCTCCGGGCTAACGACAAACGTGAACCTTTTTTGGGCTCATAGAACTCATCAAACATTTCTCATATGCAGGTAGATCTGGGATAGCTTTTAAATAAAGAATCAATAAAAAAGAAAAATTATAGAGGGGTGGAGTTGTTTTGTTTTCTAATGAGAACTGATAAGACTAGATTTAGGCAACAAAAGAAACTCCGTTCACTGTTTTTTTTGTTATTTTGTTAACTCTAAGTGTACTAACTTTCAAATTGCCAGAGTAATATTTGAAATTTACTCATTTTCAGCAATTTTGCAGTGGTGGTTAACATGATTTCACTGGACCATTGTTTTTGACCATTGGTTCATTGTCAATGGACCATTGTTTTTGATGAAATCGTTCATCGATACTTTCAAGTGTAACCAAAACATGGAAATTTTAAGATTTTGAGCTTTTAATCCCGTTTACCCATTCTCCATGGGATTTGTTTTGGTTCGGAAATCTCGGAAATCTTCCTTGGCGTGAAGATTAAAAATCTTTAATCAGATAAAGTTATGTTGTCAAAGACTCGGCTGAAAAAGCCATCACTTATCAAGATCACTTTTTCCAAGACAAATTCCAAATCTTATGCGAATTTTTAGATTCTAGAAAGTTAAATTGATTTGTCAAACCTCTGATCTGATATTTAGAGACGAATTTCATTGTTCTTATGTCAACTTTAAACATTCTGCAACCTCTAGTAACACTCTGTAACCTCTGTAACCTCTGTAACCTCTCATTCTGTAACCTCTTTAACCTCCCATTCTGTAACCTCTGTAACCTCTCATTCTGTAACCTCTGTAGCCTCTCATTCTGTAACCTCTGTAACCTCTGTAGCTTCTCATTCTGTAACCTCTGTAATCTCTCATTCTGTAACCTCTGTAACCTCTCATTCTGTCACCTCTGTAGCCTCTCATTCTGTAACCTCTATAACCTCTCATTCTGTAACCTCTGTAGCCTCTCATTCTGTAACCTCTGTAACCTCTGTAGCTTCTCATTCTGTAACCTCTGTAATCTCTCATTCTGTAACCTCTGTAACTTCTCATTCTGTAACCTCTGTAATCTCTCATTCTGTAACCTCTGTAACTTCTCATTCTGTAACCTCTGTAATCTCTCATTCTGTAACCTCTGTAACTTCTCATTCTGTAACCTCTGTAATCTCTCATTCTGTCACCTCTGTAGCCTCTCATTCTGTAACCTCTGTAACCTCTCATTCTGTAACCTCCGTAACCTCTCATTCTGTAACCTCTCTTCTCATTAGGATTTCGGAAAGAAGATGTTTTAATAAATTGCAAAATGTTCAGCTTTGAAGCTGAACTTTTCCGTAAACTTTCAGATGAGGTCAACGCTGCTCGCGAGCACACTTTTTGTCATCGCTTTTGCAAAGGTTAGTCAAGTCTAAAATCCTTCTAACGCTCAAAAATACTTGAATTATCAAATTCAAAACATAGAATTGTTTGAAAAGGCAAAATTTTAGACACAAGAGCCAAAACTCTTCACCCAGTCGCCCACCGTGCGACTCACCGCTGAGAATTGGGAGGAGGTGAGTTGAAAAATGGATTTGAAAGTCTAGATTTCATTTGGTTTACTAGTTCATTGAGAAGATTGATAGGTTTTGTTCTTTAGTTTTATAAACTGTGATAAAATATCATAAATTAAACATAAACTAAACCTTTCAGCAAGTCTTGAACTCGGCTCATCCCTGGGTGATTGTTTTCTATGCGGAGTGGTGCGGATGGAGTCAAATGTAAGAAAATTGTTAATCTATTTCTTTTAAACATTAGTCAACCAAGTTATCTTCATTTTTAAAAAATAATATTGTACATAAAGCCAATCGTTTAGGTATTCGGAAAACAATTGGCCGGAACTGATTGAACGTCTTGGGAACAATACGGATGTCAAGGCTGGTTTTAGCTTTTTTGATCAGAAATATCTAACATTTTCAAAGAGGATCCTGGATTTCGCAAATTTCTCATAGTCATGGATTCATTTATCACCACTCTTGCTATCGCTTTCCTACTTGTTTCCACAATTCTCATTGTTCGATATACAAAATATCATGTACGATTGATTGGATCTAGCTTGGATAAGAATGAGATCTTGGATAAGAACGAGATCTTGGATAAGAACGAGATCTTGGATAAGAATAAGATCTTCTCGGAAATCGGGATCTTTTAACAAAATACGGATCTTTTCATTGTGAAAAGCTATCATCTGGAAAACCCAAAGCCAATTCGGACTTTTCTTAAGACAAAGGGTTGAAATAAACCCCACCAATAGGTTCTACGACCCTGAAAACGCCAAGGCACAAGATCTTATTTCCGAGAAGATCTTATTCTTATCCAAGATCTTGTTCTTATCCAAGCTTATCTTATCCAAGATCTTGTTCTGATCCAAGCTTACAATCATTTTCAGCTGGGTGCCGTTGATGATTTGGAGGGAATCTACGCGAGATATCACATTCGAACATTTCCTACGATCAAGATTTTCCTCCCATTCTCACGTGAGTGCAGTTTCATTACAAAATCAATGAAAACATTTTGATTAACATAGAAACTCATAGTCAAAGCAATACAGAAAAACAAGTTTATCGAAATCTGATGAAAAGTCATTGAATAAAGGTGAAAAGACGGTTTAAACTCTAGTAAATAACGGGTACTGTAGTTAGGTCAGAGAATAGAATCTGGTAGCTATTAGAATAGCAAAGCATTTAAAGAATACAATAAAATGGCTTTTAACTATTTACAGTTAACTTCTTAGAATCAAAAACGATTTTTCAGAAAAGCCAATTCGAATGAAAATCGATCGATATGATATTGCTTGGATTGTCGACTATTTGAGTCTCTTTCCAGTAAATTATCTCAATTTTGATAAGCTTTTTTTGATATTTGATTTGATTTTTATCACCCGAAAGTCGCGAGTATAACTTCTGTTTGGTTTTCGCATGCAAATTGACGGCTGTCTCCGGTGCGGTGTGTCGAGGGTTCGATGCCCGCTGCAGCATAACTTTTTTGTTTTTTAAGAACAATAATAGAAGTAAATTTATTGAGGGTTATAGCAATTTTATGCTGTTATTTGTTGCTCCGGGCGTGGCTCGACTATGCCGGGCGTGGCTCGACTATGCCGGGCGTGGCTCGACTATGCCGGGCGTGGCTCGACTATGCCGGGCGTGGCTCGACTATGCCGGGCGTGGCTCGACTATGCCGGGCGTGGCTCGGCGCGTTCGCCCTGCTCCTCTCCGGTGCTCAGTCTTATGGATCCCTCCCTGGCCTCTTCATCCGGTCAAAGTCCACGTCGACGGTCGAAAGAGATGCTTTCCAGCGTCTTCTTCAACACGATCGTCTGGATGTATCCATGCACACAACAAATAGCAACGGTGATAGGCTGTCACCATTGCTGGTGACAGGCTGTAGTATCCCGCGCTCCAAGAACAATAATAAAAGTTTATATAACAATAAAAATGTATAAAAACCCAACAAAAAGAAATTCAAAGCAATTAAAGCGAATGTAAATTAAGGCAGAACTTATACTCGGATCAACATATACTCGAGACTTTAGGGTAATATAAATTACCGTAAATCCTGTATTTTACAGGATAAATCTAGAGAATCACTTTTTTATTCACTTTAGAAATCGAGAGCCACCGATGATGCACACCAAGATGCGCACAAAGATGCGCACAAAGATGCGCACAAAGATGCGCACAAAGATGCACACAAAGATGCACACAAAGATGCACACAAAGATGCACACAAAGATGCGCACCAAGATGCGCACAAAGATGCGCACAAAGATGCGAACCCAAGTATGGATGATTAAATTATGCGAATTTTAAAAACAATAACAATTTTAGGTGATAATAGATTGAAAAATGAAATCAATATATTTATAGAGATGAGATTTTCCTCCTCTTCCTCTCACACTTTCTTCGCACTCCCTGGACTAATAATTGGCGCGATTTTGTGGTTCACTCAATGAAAAACTAGCTCTTTTATCAATCGATTGTAAATAATAATAATAAAAGTTGATTGTCTTTGACCTTTAGATGATAAACTACAGCTTTTATTTAAATTTATGTGCTTGGCGTGGTTAGCGTGGTTGGAGGCAAATCACAGAGATATTGAAATGTTCCAGAGCAATCGATTTGTCTCCAATCGTGATTATTCCGAGGATCCATATATAAGCAACCGCCTTTCTCTGCTGAAAAGTAGAAATTGTTGTTGTTTTTAGTGGAAAGCCTTTAAGCAAAGAACTTCTATTGACAATTGCTTTCACTCACTTGATGCAACCCAATGTTGATAGTTGAACGGTGTCTCATCATACCAAAGCCATGTCGGCACGCTGGAATTAAACCAGCCACCAATCCATCCCAATTGACCCGTCAATTCTAGGAGTTTATATGTGGATTCGTTTATTTTGTAACCCGCCGAAAAACCGTCGTTAAGCGGGTTTTTCTCGCTGGATATTTTGAGGCTGAGGCATGTCGCTGTGGCGCAGTCGGCTGGCGCATTGTCTAAGGCCCACGACCTGGTCGTTTCGCCGGTTCGACTCCCCGTTTTGCCACTCAATTTTGATCTTTTTCATTTTTGATTTTAAATCCCACAACTACAAGGTTTTTTAAAGAAGTTTTAGCTTTATTGGTCAAAACACGGCCGAGAAAATGCTTTTATAGACAGACAGACAGACAGATATACAGACAGATATAAAGACAGATATACAGACAGACAGACAAACAGAGAGACAGACAGAGAGACAGACGGACAGACAGACGGACAGACAGACAGACAGACAGACAGGCACGGCTGTTTATATCTACGCTGTTTATATCACTAACGTTTGCGTTTTCCGCGCAATCTAAGCCCCACCCCTTTTTGTCAATGGCTGCGCACAGACCGACAGACGGACAGACCACTCTTCTGCTTTATATAGTAGATATATAAAAGAGCTATGTCTGTCTGTCTGTCTGTTTTTGCGCACTACTTCTCTGTGCCCAGTGGGCCGTTTCGAATGACTTATAGTTAGTTTTGCTTAGAATTTTATGTAGTTGTGGAACATGTTTTTAAATTTTCAAAAAACCAAAAGTGGCTGGGCGGGCGGGGGTCGAACCTGAGTCGTGTGGGCTAGAGAAAAGTGCGCTCGCACTGCGCCAGAGCATGGCCGAGGGGCTGATGCGCACGCCTCTCAAACGAATGGAAGAGAAGGGTCGCGAGTTCGACTCCCCTCAGCGGCAAATTTTTTCCTTTTTGCTCCAAAAACTTTTTTTGCTGGTATAGATACTTTTTGTGTGCAGATCGGCAACGGCAGCATTCTCAAAAGCGTTGTGAATCGAGAACAAATGTCCACCCAGCGATTGGCAATTCAACTCGGCAGAAATCGAGGATGTGGCTGAATTTTTTCGCTCGATAAGTGTAGAACATCCAAATTTTTGGGGCTTTTAATTGAATTAGTAATTTAGTTCAATTACAAAAGCTTTAACTGAATCAGATCAACTTTACACTCACCAATTTCCACTGGCAAAACACATGTGCCAAGCTCGTCGCTCCAAAATGATTCATTAATGCAACTTTGAATGGTAAATGGTAAAAATATTGATATTGTAAGCAGAAAAGAAAGCATTTTTGTTGAAAATTCTCAATTTCTGAAACAGGAAATAAGTGTCTTCCATTATGACTCATGAAAATAAATCAATTTCTTATCTTGTTTGCATGAGGCAGCTTCTAGCTAGTTTGGAATCTGTGAATCTTCACTTTTTAGCTTGATTTTTCAATCTTAACTAATTGTAACGGTTTTATTTCTATCTTTATCATCTAATGGATACGCTTGTCGTCGAGACTCATCCAATCGGTCAAGGAGGAAATGGGGCTGTCTACAAATTGATTGGATATCAACCGTTTGTTTTTTTTCATAAGATTGTCGTTACGATTCTTGTGAGCTTTTTTACTTGTGACTATTATGATTTAATTTGAAAAGTTTGGGTAATTATGAAGGAAAAATTCAATTTGAGTTAATACCCAAAGCAAGTTTTTAAGAATGACTGAATGAATGGGAAAATCATGCTAATGAACGTTTTGTGCAAAATTCTATCACTTATTGAATTGTTTTCTAATTCTATTGACTAACAAGAATTCTAGGTACTGTAACTTTATCCACAATGAGTCACAAGCTATTTTTTTACTAATACAGTTAGGCAATTAGGGGAAAAGTTGAGGACAAGCAGCTATTCTAGGTTCCAATTTCTTGGGGACACATAATTCCAAAAGTTATTTGTAACTTGTGACTCTACAACTTTGATTTCCTCTTAATTCGAACCAATGTGAAAAGATTGTTGGACATTTGACGGGCCCCGACCCCTTTGCCATTGGCAGCCAACTTTGAGCTCAAAAATCTTGATGTCGGGATGTCTAATTTCAATACTCTTGGTATCATTAGATCCGCCAAGTCTTTCTCTGATGTCGGGCTGCCAAAATGATCAAAAGATTGCCAATGGCAAGGAGGCGGGGCTTATCAGATATCCGCCCCCCTTGCCATTGGCAATCCAACTTTGAGCTCAAATCTCTTGGTGTTGGGCTGTGCAATTTAGATAGTTTTTGCACCAATCGACAGAGAAAGACTTGACGCATCCAATGATATCAAGAATATTGAAATTGGACAGCCCAACACTAAGAAATTTAAGCTTAAAGTTATGCCAATGGCAAAGGGACGGACCTGTATCAAATGTCCTATAGCCATGTGAAGATCATCATCTTCAAGTTCTAAACTCACTTTTAGACCAGCAGTGATCAAGTACCTGATCAACGTAAACGAACAACAGGTCGAAGAATTCAAAAACGAATATGAAGCGTTGGACCGGCTTAGTCATCCGCATATGATCAATTACATTAAATCGGTTGAGAATTTGAGCGATCCATTGAGACGATTTGCGATTATCACTGAATTTTGTGATAGAGGCAGTTTGGATAATTGTATTTTTTTGTGGGGAAATCTTTTTGAAACCAATTTTCAGTCATAAAGAACCCAAACATTTTGTACACGATAAGAACGGTGATTGCGTGGAGTCGAGGGCTTTTTGATGCTCTTGGGAATCTGTTTGAGAGGCTCGGCTTCGTGCACAAGGATGTGAAACCGGGAAAGTTTGTTTTTTTTTGTGTTCAGAAAGAGTTTTGGCATAGCTTTTGTACAAATCCAAGCTTTCAAATCATATTGTTCAGCGTTTTTATCACAAAAGATTGGACGGTTAAACTTGGGGACTTTGGAAGTGTCCGTGCTTGTGATGGAACATCGATTGAGGCTTTCAGAGGGACAATTCGATACTCGGTTCCTGATCAAATAGGAATCCCTGAATTAGGGGAAAATCCGACGGAAGAAGAGAAGGAGCTACGAAAAGTGAGAATTTTGATAATTTTGATGGGTCTAAAGTTTTGCAATTGCTAAAAATCCCATAATTCTAGAATTTAGCTATTCTAGGCTTCTAGAATAATTGTTTTTTTTTTGGTTTTGTGCAGTCAGACATCCTGAAAAATCCGTTTTCTTTTAAGAGATGCTATCACCGAAATGATGTTTACAGCCTGGGACTTGTTTTGTGGGAGCTAATAGAGAGACGGTGAGGATTACTTGACAATCACAGTTATTTTCCTAAATCCATTGGGTTGGTGAATCGAAAACAGCGGGCTATTATCATAGTCATATGTGACAGTTTGAGCACTTTCTTCAAAAGAAACCCATTTTGGTGTCAATGGAAAAGTTGTAGAGAATCAAAAATCAAGCTTATATCCTAATTTTCAGAACCATTCAAAAACGGGTTTTCAAGAAATGCCAAATTTTCACAAAACTTGCATTTTAAGCGAAATTACTAAGTGTATCTTTTTGAAAATTTGGCTATAAGCCTAATTTTTGATTCTCTACAACTTTTCTATTGACACCAAAATGGGTTCCTTTTGAAGAAAGTGCTGAAACTGGGCTGACGGCTGACATCTCCAGTCCTCCATTTTTGAGTCTCACACTTGTCTCACACACAAACCAAAATCGTATTGTCTATTGTCATATGTCACAGTTTAAGCACTTTGGGATATGGAGGGAGTGGTGTACTGGGAGTTGCTGGATAGCAAGACAACCCTTAATGCAATCAAATACAGTGAACAGTTGGAAAAGGTGAATGAATTCCTAAAGAAGAAGAAGTCAAAGATCGTTCTCCGATCTTTGACTTGAAAAAGTCACCCATTGCTAAACCTTGTAAACCAATGATTTTGAAATCCAGAATTTCTTGAAAAGCTTTACGAATGGCTAAGCTTGGAGCTAGATTTTCTTGATTACTGTATGGTGATGGCATTTCTTTAGCCAGTTCATCAAAATACCGCTTTTTCTCCTTCTAGTCAAAGATCGTTCTCATCCTTCATGTTACAAAACTGACTCGCTCTGAAATAAATAGCCTTGGTTGAGAACTTTTGGCATATCCCCCTTCTGATTACTATTTATTCCGGACCATGAGTAATGAGCTTGCGGGAGAACACTTCGATTCGGAAGAAGCAGTTAAAAATTGGCTCGAAAAGTTTTTCGATTCAAAACCAAAATCCTACTACGAAAGAGGAATCCGCAGATTGCATGTAAAATGGGCAGAAGTCGTCAATAATAATGGAAATTATTTGGAATCAATTGATCGTTTTATGTTGAAGAAGTTTTAGTTCAAAGTCCCGCAGTTTTCATTTCACCAACCCAGTAATTCATTTGAATGTAGTGAATTGATTGGTGTATACAATCTTTTAGACAAGTCTATTCGAATTACGAGAAAGTCGATGGTTACAATGGAAAAATGTTTAATGAAAGTCTTTTTTACTCATTCATCCAAGCAAATAAACAATTCGATTTGGAACCAATCAATTGCATCGAAGAATTGAAAGTGATTTTTGAGAAGTGAGTGACCATTTTTTAGACTTTATTACCTAAATTCAGTGCAACAAAATTTCTTGCCTTGGAAAGATCGGATGCAATGGAGACTCGAGATCAATTGGCACAGCTAGAGGTTAAAAAATGCATTTATTCACACGAATAGTGTAGTATAAACAATCCACAAGCAGAGCTCCTAGCACTCATTCCTTAAGCCCTAAATCTAGAGAAGAAAAAACCCATATACCGCAAAATATTGAAAAACAAGACAAGAAAACATGATAAGAAATTAACTAGTCAAGAAATCAACAACAGAATCATTACCCGAATTATCTCCATTCAATTCCATGTTTTCAAATTGATCCTTTCCTTCATTGATGGATTGTTCAAGTCGAGCATTGGCGAGAAGTCCTGCTTTCTTGAACCAGTGAATGAGATCATCTTCCGAGCCATCAGTAGCCGTGATAATCGCACAATTCTTGAACGAAAGCGTGAAGTTCTTCGGAAGTTTGTTCCACGCATTCCAAACCCATTCAAGGTAGGTTTCCATTGCCAGCCAACGGTCTTCTCCCATTCATCATCCAATCTTCATATTGAGCTCGAATCCTCGTTTTAAAAAGAGCATTCCGGTGTTTAGGTCGGAGACAACTGAAGTCAACTGAAGGTCGGAGACAACTGAAGTCAACTGAAGGTCGGAGACAACTGAAGTCAACTGAAGGTCGGAGACAACTGAAGTCACTGAAGGTCGGAGACAACTTGAATGTACTTTGTGCACCATCTAGATACCAGAATTGAATCAATTTACAAATCCTTTAGAATTTTCCCCGTAGTTTTGCTTTTGTGAACCTGAAGTTATCCGAGAAGTTAAATATTAAATGCAAAATAGTAACGATTCTCGACTCGTGACTCGACTAAGGCGCGCCGAGTCGAGTGGCAAGCTTAGTCACGAGCCACGAGTCGTCAAGGACCTCTAACTCGACTCGACTCTTGGCCCATGTCTAGTGCAAAAGAAACGCATAAAAATTATTTAAAAAACAACAAAAAATAGTAGAAGAATGTGTTTTCAACTTCAAATGATACAAAACTACAAACAACAAAACTTAAATGCTAATTTTAAGTACATTCAAAATTTTTTCAATCCCCTCCGAGCCTGCAATACTTCTAAGGAGAATACGGTATATTGAAAAAAGAATCAATAATCTAGTCGGTAGGATTGAAGCCTTGACCTGCCGACTAAGATACAGAGCTCTTAGCCAGTCAGCCATATTGGCCAAAAACTTACAACAACTCAAAGATTTCAGAAAGAAAGTTGGGTGAATGAATTCATCGAAGCACCAAGGGAAGATAACGAGGAAAGAGATTTGGTTAAACCAAAGGGCTTTGACGGGACAAGGCATCGAGTTCTGGTGGTGAGTTGTTTGAAACTGAAATTGACTTCATTTGTCTCCCTAAACAAAACCGCTGTAGCTGTAGTAGCCATTTAACTAGAACGCACGTCCTGGCACGTCATATTCTGAACTGGCTTTGTTATATGTCTGGGCAAATCGCCGGATCCGATTGCTGGATTGAAGCCAGGCTTAGATGGCCGCTTGGCCGGGATCTAACTGTGATCTAATTTATCTATTTGATTTTCAGGCTTCTTTAAAACTAGATGATGCTGTCAACGAGGAAGATTACATTGTTCCCGATCCAGAGATGTCTGATTCTTCCTCCGATGGTGAAACTTCAGCAAAGAAAGAATCAAAACAGCCAGACCCATCACTCGATGATTTCTTGCCGAAAAAGTTCTCGAAAATAGATCGATCATGGCTCAAAAAACTGTACAATCTATTGAATTTTTCTGAAAAACAAGAATTTTGTCAAGAAATCAGAGCTCTCTACGGGGAAATGATGGAGAAAAAGCGGTATTTTGATGAACTGGCTAGAGAAATGCCATCACCATACAGTAATCACGAAAATCTAGCTCCAAGCTTGGCCATTCGTAAAGCTTTTCAAGAAATTCTGGACTTCAAAATCATTTGTTTACAAGGTTTAGCAATGGGTGACTTTTTCACGATTCTTGGAAAAGTTGACAGAGGTTTTTTCGATCCTGCATCACATCATAGAAATTATTGCAAACTGATTGAAAAGCTTGAATCTAAGAAAAGGGATCTTTTCCCATCAGCTAGAATCTTTTTCAAATGCTACACTTCAACAATCAATCAAAAAGAATGGCTTTTCTTGAAAGAATACCCGGAAATCAATAGGTACTCGTTTGTCAGCAAAAATCTAAACGAAATTTTCCCTTTTTACGGAATCTGGAGTAACGATCGGAGAACTTTAACGCTAAAAAATGGGCATGAAGAAGAGAAATTGGTGAGGAATTTGAGCACAAATGAAAACCCAGGCGATTTGCTGTATTCTCATGATGAGCCCATTGATTTCTTCATGATCATCGACGCAATGCGCGAGAAAAGCGCGCAAATCTTGAGAACTCAAAAGTTGAAGTTGGCCAAAATGTTGCCGTTGGATGAAGTGAATAAACCGAAATTTGAATTACCGAAGAAAATTGGTCAAAATTTGCCGATAGCCGGCTATTGCTTTCAGCTAAGAAATCAGCCTAGAGTACATTTTGATAAAGAACTGAAATGTCCAATCGTTAGCCTCGGGCATGTTCAATATTATGATTGGTCTCCGAAAGCGGCAAAAATCTATTTAAAATCTTATCTATCGTTGTGCAAAGATTTTGAGAGAATGGAGAATTTTAATCACATTTTTTACAATTGGACCAATACAAATCCGATGATTACAAAAAGGACAATGGCGTACAAATTTCAAAAAACGAAACAATTCAAAGAGCATTATTTCGTCTTTCTTCAATGCCCAAATTTTTTAAATAAAAACGGGAAAAATCTCATTTTACTCGATCATCCAAATAATTATCAGAAAGGGGAAAAAGTTCAATTTTTTGATTACGATCTCTGCTTTTATGAGGTGGAATCAGCCTTTTTGATGGCTCATCTAGAAAAATATTCCAAATCTCTATCATATTTTTTGATGGCTCCGATTGAGGATTGTGTGATGGAGTACAAATTGATTGATAGACATGGGAAAGAGTTCAGCGATGAGTATTTGGGTGAGTTGATTGAGCCTAATGTGTTCCTCTTAGCTGGTGCTTTTAAAAGACACTAGCTTTGGATAACTACCGTACTCAGAGCGCCAGTTTGCATTTGATAATTGACTGACAAGGGAGTGGTCCGAAGTGAATGTGGCGGTTTGGGATGAGTGGTACCCCATTTGATAGATCTCATGATGAATATTGATGAATATTGGATCTCATAGTTTTGGATACGACCCGCTTTAACCTTATCATCGGGAATGATTTTGCCTCAGAGTAGCACAGCTTCAGAATAGCCGAGTAGCACAAAAAGGTTAAAAGAGGTTTTCCCAAAACGCGCACAACATAACAAGAACACGCAACATCTAGCATAACGCTTGTGATACGAGTACACAGCGAAATGACGCTTCGTCGATGACATCACAAATGCTAGCAAATGCTTTCTATAAAGTTGGACCAGCTATCTAAAAAACGTTTAAAGCCTTAAGGGTAAAGTAAATCGGATTTATAATTTTACGGTTTATTAGTACAGAACAAAAAAAAGCAACGATACCCATTACAAAAACAGCATCCGCATGAATAGAAACATCAAATCCTGAAAGAACGAAGGCAAAACCCCAAGTCCAAAGGGGCGAGAAGCTACACCAAAAATTCTATTAAAAAACAAAAAAAAAACAATTTGGGGAAGAGAGTGAGACGAAAATGCGACGGAAATTCAATGCAAATAGGAAGGGAACGGACGCGATGAAAAAAAATGAGCATAAAAGAATAATAAAGTATAGAGAATAAAATGTATGACTCATCCCACTTCTGTCCATTCCCATCTGAGCCTTGTGATTCCTCATCAAATGCTGTAAAAATTTGGGCTAATTAAATGAAAACTGGCAGTTAGATTATAATTTTGGGTTGGTGAATTGAAAACTGCGGGCTATTTTCATAAGTGACAGTTTGAGCACTTTCTTCAAAAGAAACCCATTTTGGTGTCAATGGAAAAGTTGTAGAGAATCAAAAATCAAGCTTATACCCAAATTTTCAGAACGATTCAAAAACTGCTTTTCAAGAAATGCGAAATTTACGAATTTTCACAAAGCTTGCAACAAAACTTGCATTTTAAGCGAAACTACTCGGTGTATCTTTTTGGAAATTTGGCTATAAGCCTAATTTCTGATTCTCTACAACTTTTCCATTCACACCAAAATGGGTTTATTTTGAAGAAAGTGCTCAAACTGGACTGACGGCTGACATCTCCAGTCCTCGATTTTTGAGTCTCACACTTGTCTCACACACAAAGCAAAATCCTACTACGAAAGAGGAATCCCCAAATTGCCTGTAAAATGGGCAAACTTTATCAAATGTATAGCTTCAATCGTTTTTCCCGACTCGGTACAAATTTACAGCTCAATATCTTTTTGTTATCTAGACAGCAACATCTAGAAAGCAAAAAGGAATCTCGGTAAATGACTGGCAAGGTGTCCCCTGTGCGGCCGCACAATCGCTCGCCATCTGGCATAAACAAACTGGTATAGAAGTCTTCCTTTTTCGCTTTACATTGCATTCGGATGAGCCTCTATCTCCTTTTTTCAAACCCTCTACCTCCTTTAATCCAAAGCTTCTAATCCAACGCATTCAGAAGCTTTTCAATTTACCCACACCCATATAACGATCAGAAACGATTTTGACAAACTGGTTAAAGCCGGAAAAGGATCTTTGAAGCTTATTTGGCGCGTGCCATTTTTTTACTGTACATAATGTTCGCCATAGAAGCGTCCAATTATTTCGGCCCAATTACACAAAAGAAATGCCAAATTTTCACAAAGCTTGCAACAAAACTTGCATTTTAAGAGAAACTACTGAGTGTATTCTTTTAGAAATTTGGCTATCAGCCTAATTTCTGATTCTCTACAACTTTTCTATTGACACCAAAATGCGTTTTTTTTGAAGAAAGTGCTCAAACTGGGACATCTCCAGTCCTCCATTTTTGAGTCTCACACTTGTCTCACACACAAACCAAAATCCTACTACGAAAGAGGAATCCGCAAATTGCCTGTAAAATGGGCAGAAGTCGTCAATAATAATGGAAATTATTTGAAATGAATTGATCGTTTTGTGTTGAATAAACTTTAGTTCAAAGTCCCGCAGTTTTTGAATTCACCAACCCAATAGTTTTCTAAAGTAGATGCTTTTTTAGAAAACTGATTGACTACAAAAATATAAAAAACGACAATTTCAGCCTAATTTATTTTTACATTTTTAACCTTTCAAGTTCAACATTAAACTTAAAAAAGAGCTTTATTGAATCTTTAAAAAAATATGATGCGTGGGTGTAAAAACTTTACTCCATTGGCTATTATCTTCTGGTACAGATCTTTTTTCAAAGTCTACACCGATAAGTTTAGAACTTTTTCACAATTTCACGAATCCGAGCACAGATTTAGTACTTGGCTATTCATAAAGCACAATCCATTATCTAGCCTAACGCCCACGCCAAATTCGAATCAAAAAAAGAGTCAAACAAAGAACGTTTTATATTTATTTGCAAAATTCGAATGCTTTTTGAGGTCGAAATTTGAAAATATTTACGAAATATGAACTTTAGATCAAATCGATATGAGAGTTATGAAGAAAAATGAAAAGGAGAGAAAGAAAAAGAAACATAAACACCGCTCGAAAGCCGAAAAGGCTACTTTATTGTTTTATTGAAAAATTTCTTAATCACTTACATTTTTAAGCTTATATCTAACAGATTTTCAATTGTTTTTTTTTTTCAATTTAATTGTTCAATTCAAGATTTCAATTTCAGTAGCTTATAAATCTTTTTGATATACTTTGATATCTACTACATGCGGCTTCTGGGAACATTCAAGCGCTTTGAGATCTCGCTCGGCTGAACACGCTGCCGCTTGAGCTCAATGATCGATTGTCGATGTGGAGACGCTTGGTGAAAGCGTCTCCACATCGACATTCCTGAAAACAACCATACTAATGCATTGAAAGTTAGTAATCATACCATAAAATAAGAAAAATACACAAAAACTATCAAAACAGGTAAGCAAAAAGTGAAATAGGGCTCATAACATAATACGACGTTGTTGCGGTAGTTCTTGGTCACCCTGTAGAGCTAGGCTTGAAGATGTTGAATTGAAGATGGTCAACAGTGAATTTGACAATGGATTGTTCTTTGAACCATGAAGTCTTTGCGATAAAACAATCTTCGAATTTATGTTATTATACAGGGTGACCAAGAATTACCGCAACACACAAAAAGGCCCAAATATGCGACCCATCTCGTAAAGTTAACTTAAATATCTTTATTCAACATATAACAGTAATAAATTCTGGGGGCATTCAAGCGCTTTGAGATCTCGCTCGCCTGAACACGCTGCCGCTTGAGCTCAAGGCTTAGGTCTTTTCGCTTGCCCTTCGCAGCAGCTGATAGTAAATGAGATTTGTTCTTCTTGTACAGCTTCATTTTCAGCTTTTTCTTGATGATTGTGTTGACGGAGCTTCTCTTCAGACCCATTTTCTGTGCCATTCCTCGAGCCGATTGGTTAGGGTTTAATCTTAGACGATCGCGCACTTTCTTGACATAACCGCTGTTCGTTTTGCACCTCTTCCAGGGCGATCAGAAACTTTGCCCAGAGTTTCACACAAAAAGGCCCAAATTTGTGACCCATCTCGTAAAGTTCACTTAAATATCTTTATTCAACATATAACAGTAATAAATTCTGGGGGCATTCAAGCGCTTTGAGATCTGGCTTGCCACGCTGCCGCTTGAGTTCAATGATCGATTGTCGATGTGGAGACGCTTTCACCATTCCGGAAAACAACGATACTAATGCATTGAAAGTTAGTAATCATACCATAAAATAAGAAAAATACACAAAAATCATCAAAACAGGTGAGCAAAAAGTGAAATGGGGCTCATAATACGACGTTGTTGCGGTAATTCTTGGTCACCCTGTATATAAAAAATAAAACATCCGTCCGTCTGTCTGTCACGCCTACGCGACAATACAAATTGCGTTAACGTAAAATTACAACGAAGTAAGCTAGAAAGCTAAAAATTTGTACTCGGGTGTTTTCGGGGGCGAGAAATCCGAATCTGCTTTCAGATTTGTGCTACGTGCCCTCAGTACCTCCAGGTAGAATATTCGTGTGGCGGACGCCCAGCGCAGCTGGTGTACAAAGAAATCAGCTCTTCAAATCATTGTGACATTATTGAAGAGATTATTGAAGAGACATCAAAAAATGATAGTGAGCTTACATTCACGAAATTCTCTTTCAAAACTCGCACACCAAAAGGACAATTTTTTGAAGGTGACGAATTTGACCGATGTTTGAATCGACAACCGTGCAAGAAAGCATTGAAATGAGCGTACTTGTGAAAAGGATTTCGTTCAAATTTCAACTCTTCAATGAGCTTTTGTTTTGGTTTCATTCGGTGATGAAGTGTGTTATGGTTAAAAGGGCTAGAACCCGGTCAAAAGCCAAATCTGTCTAGTAAGGCTTTGAATTAACCCAAAGCCTTTTGTAAGTCAGGCCAAAGTCAGCCAGCAAAGCCCAAAGCATGTCCAGAATTGGGCCAAAACTTGGCTCTTGATCTAATCGGGAAAAATTGCCTGAAACAACCTTATTTACAAGAGAAAGTCAACTAAGTTTGCCAAATGATATGAGCAATAAATCATTCGACGCAAAATCCGAATATCTACTTCTTTTTTTGCAAAATGTCACTCTATCAAAAGTTATGAGCATTGCCCATACATGTACCCCATCAAAATTGATTATCGAATCGCCTGGGAATGTTGGGTTTGATGGAGTATTGTCACCCCGCTAGCTAATATCCCTTTCAAAAAAGAATCTTTCTTTTGGTCGAAAGTGCTTTTAGCCATAGACGCTGTGAAAGTGTTGCAGCATGTGAATGTTATTGGCTTATGGTTTGCGTGTGCAGGTGGGCACACGAGGGTTACTCCGAAAATCGAATAGAAAAAGATATTGGTGGGGACCAGAAAGCCAGAAAGCCTTCAATTTGGATTCTAGTTCATTGCCACTTGGCCACGACTTCCGTTTTTGCATTGAGATAAACTATGATGTCGCTCATCTTTTTTATAGAATAGAAAACTCCTTATAAAAGTTTGAGCGATCATAACTTTTGATAGAGTGCAGTTTGCAAAAAAAGAAGTAGATATTCGGATTTAGCGTAAATTTCTGTTTCGAATGGTCAATGTCATTTGGCACACCCAGTTGACTTTCCCTTGTTAGTACCAATAAAAGTTGATCTTCAAATTTTAGCAGATATTTGATGTGTGTTTCATAAAACAAGAACATTACTTATAGCAAAGTGATGTCTGCATCTCAAAATAAATCACCTTAGCGTAATTTTATGATCAGAACTTTTTTTTCGCTTGACAGTTTTGCGGAAGCTGCTTTAAGCTTAAAGGTCGCCCGAATAATTGGGCGCTTTTATGGCGAACATTATGTACAGTGAAAAAAGGGCACACGTCAAATAAGCCTCAAAGATCCTTTTCCGGGTTTAACCAGTTTGTCAAAATCGTTTCTGATTGTTATATGGGTGTGGGTAAATTGAAAAGCCTTTGAATGCGTTGGATTAGAAGCTTTGGATTAAAGGAGATAGAGGATTTGAAAAAGCTAGTCATCCGATTGCAATGTAAGGAAGAATGCAATTTAAGGAAGCGAAAAGGAAGACTTCTATACCAGTTTGTTTATGCCAGATGGAGAGCGATTGTGCGGCTGAACAGAGAACACCTTGCCAGTCATTCACCGAGATTTCTTTTCGCTGTCTAGATGTTGCTGTCTAGATAACAAGAAGATATTAAGCTGTAAATTTGTACCGAGTCAAGAAATCGATTGAAGCTATTCATTTTATAAAGTCTACCAATTAGAACTCGAATTTAATTAGACAAATTCATTCAAAAGTTTTCTTGAATTCTACACCTAATTTTTCACATTTTGACCGATAAGCTTTACATTTTTAAAGTTCAAAAACTTCATGACTTATTGTCAATTATGTCTTTGATACCAAAAAAATCTTAGATTTCAAGGGCTATCATTTGATACCCAAGTGCACACCGTAGCTTAAAGCAATGCGAGAATGAGACGTTCAAAGTTAGACTACTCGATTAGCCCGTCATTATGGGGTGGCTTAGGACGATCCGACTCCTAGAGTAGGACAATCCAACTCTGATCTAGCCACTCTTTTAATTTTAGTCTCTGGTTATTGAAAGCAATAGAAAATGATAATATTTTAGTAGATAAGCACAGATCCGGGCCTCAACAAAACCATGAAACGGTCAGTTATGATTTGTTTAACGGTCAGTTATGATTTGCTGTCTAGATAACAAGAAGATATTGAGCTGTAAATTTGTACCGAGTCAAAAAATCGATTGAAGCTATTCATTTGATAAAGTCTATCAATTAGAACTCGAATTTAATTCAGACAAATTCATTCAAAAGTTTGCCTTAACCCTTGACTACACTTGATTCTCGCATTTTAACCGATAAGCTTTACATTTTTAAAGTTCAAAAACTTCATGACTTATTTGTCAATTATGTCTTTGATACCAAAAAAATCTTAGATTTCAAGGGCTATCATTTGATACCCAAGTGCACACCGTAGCTTAAAGCAATGCGAGAATGAGACGTTCAAAGTTAGACTACCCGATGAGCCGATTTTCACATTTTAACCGATAAGCTTTACATTTTTAAAGTTCAAAAACCTCATGACTTATTTGACAATGCATGAAAGTAGAGCTTTGCATGAGAAATTTCATTTCATTTCTACCAAATGATTCGATTGGAACGCACAAAAGCACAGCGTGAAATGGAAATTCTCTCTTTCAACTTTTCCCTGAAAATTTTGATTGATGATGCCAGAATGTTTTGAAAGGGGCAGAACCCGCGATTGACCAAAATCCCGTGAAAAACGATTGAGAGGATTATGGGAACTAAAAACGGAGACCAAATTGAACCACACACAAAAAAACGGCTAGAACACAATTTATATAAATCAAAAGCTGAGCGCCGATTTGCTCAGTTTGATCAAAAATTTCGACTCGCAACAACGGGGAAATGATGCTGAAGCTCTTTATTTTATTCAACGGTTTCTTATTTATCAATTAGCATAAAGTTTAAATAAAGTGTTTTCTAAAAGATGCGGAAAAGTTACCGTAGTCGCTTTTTTTTTGGTAGATGGCCGACTTGGATTGCTTTACTGGATTTGTTTTGCTTTTGACTTGCTTTACAATCAAGTTGTCCAGTAAAAGCCACATTAACTGAATATTCTATTAGTTGAATACGTTTCTGCATTAGCGATAAGGCTATTGTAGCTAGAGTGCTGTAGCTAGAGTACTGTAGCTAGAGTGCTGTAGCTATGAATACGGTAACTCGAACGATAAGGCTATTGTAGCTATGACTACGATAGCTAGAGTACTGTAGCTAGAGTGCTGTAGCTAGAGTACTATAGCTAGAGTACTGTAGCTAGAGTGCTGTAGCTATGAGTACTGTAGCTAGAGTATTGAAGCTAGAGTACGGTAACTCGAACTACTGTAGGAGTTTTGAGACTTTTCCCCAGACACTTAACAAAAAGATACCGGAATCCAATTGTTGGAAAAATAAAAGATTATCCAGACCTCTTTGAACTCTTACCTCAGTTCAATTTTCAGTTTTTGCTGTTGTGTACAGTCAGACACCTCCCGCCTGCACAACTTGTCCTCCAAATGGTGATTTTTAAAAGTTTTATTGTAAACAAGTTTGAGCGCTCGATTTTCTTTGCTGCTGAAAAAAGGAAAGTCAAAAATTTGCTCTATATTTAGGTATTTGGTCGGACTGGGTTGCGGGGAGTTGCTCGGTGACTTGCGGTATGTTCGGAACGATGACACAAACGAGAACGTGCATATCGGAACCATTGGGATGTCCATGTGATGGGTAAGTTTTGAGTTAAGTTTTGAGAGCTTTAAAGCTTCTGTAATGTCCGTCTCTTCTCTCATTACAGTAGTCCTGATTCTGGTTTAGCCTGGCCTGGCTTTGAGCCGGGAAAGTAGGGGCTGGCTCTGGCTCTGGTCCCGAGGCTGGCCTGGCACTTTTGGTTTCGATCATTCCTAGGTTGGGATCAGGAGGATCCTCGTAAAAAAGATACTCAAGCTTTAGAATATTTAGGGGATAAAATAGAAGTTATTTATAGAATCTTGGTAAACAAATGAAAGTCTCTTTCAACTTAAACTTTCAGAGCTTCCACCACTCGAAACTACCCTTGCCCTGTGTCTCCACTTTGCCTAGGAACAGCCACTCAGCAATGTAATCTTCCTTACAAAAAGGTTTGTTTAAAAGCTTATTGCATTTGATGCAGCTTTAAAGCGCAGAAATCACTACAGTAACCTATTTAAATTCCCGAAAGGGCAGTTGTTTACAACCCCGGATTTACTTTTTAATCCCTGAATTTCGCTAGGCTAAAAATCAACTTTTGGAAATTTTATCTGAAGTTAATTGGCACGAGTTTTGAACTCAGTTTTTGTGGGATCAAATTCTTTATTGCAAAATTCGACATTTCAGTGGGGTAACCCGGCCACCAGGAAAAACGAGTGCGGAAATGTGACCGCTCAATCGGACGACTATGTGACTCCATCTTGCACGATGAACGGTGAGAACCAGGGAAAAAAGCCGGACTTGGCTCTAATTACATAAATTACTAAATACAATAAGCCCATTGTGCATGATCTTGGCAGTTTAGTACCAAAAACAAGTTTTCGGGTTAGCCAGAAGTCTGGTCTAGGCTGGCTTGGCCTGGCTTTTGGCCCGGCTTTTGGTCTGACTTGACCTGGCCTGGTTTCTGGCCTGGTTTCTGGCCTGGTTTCTGGCCTGGTTTCTGGCCTGGTTTCTGGCCTGGCTTCTGGCCTGGTTTCTGGCCTGGTTTCTGGCCTGGTTTCTGGCCTGGTTTCTGGCCTGGTTTCTGGCCTGGCTTCTGGCCTGGTTTCTGGCCTGGCTTCTGGCCTGGGTTCTGGCCTGGCTTCTGGCCTGGCTTTTTTTCTCTGGCTTTTGGTCTGGCTTTTGGTCTGGCTTCTGGACTGGTTTTTGGCCTGACTTGGCCTACCTGGCTTCTAGCCTGGTCTTGCCTGGCTTCTAATCTAGCTTCTAATCTGGCTTCTAGCCTGGTCTTGCATGGCTTCTAATCTGGCTTCTAATCTGGCTTCTGGCCTGGCTTCTATCTTGGCCTGGCATTTGGTCTTCTTATGGTATTGTTTAGCTTGCCATGTGTATGGTCTGGCTTTAATGTGGCCTAGCTTGATTCTACTAGAGGTCTGGTTCAAAAAATCATTGAGTCAGATCAGAAGCCAGCTCTGGCCTTGTGTTTCTTAACAAGAATTGCCACGTTTTTTAGGACCTGCGTGTAACTTCTGTTCTTTGACCAACCCCAGCGTGACGATCGTTAATGAGCCGGACTCGGAGGTCGGCACTGCTTCATTTGCAAGTGGTCGGTTTTGATATTGGAAAATCTGACAATTTTGATGAAACACAACAAAAGCACCTCTTTAGACGTCATCACAACAGATGCAAGCGGTTGTTCAGTGAGGACATTCACTTGCACAGCTCTTGAAGGATGGGGAGCCATAATCAATGTAAGGAGAAAAAAAAACGAAAAGGCAAAAACAATTTGAATCGAATGCCCATAGTTAGAAACCCAAATTTGGGTGTTTTCCTGAATCTCCTGAATCCATACGCAGCAGAGTTGATTAGCAAAAAGCCAAAGCCAATGCAAAGCCAATAGTTTTCCATTGGCTTTGTCCTGGAATTTCAAGCTTACCATTTTCCGTCTTTAACCTTGACTTTGACTTGAAATCTGGCTTCTGCAGCGGCTTTTGCAGAGGCTTTTGCAGTGATATTTCTTTTAGTTTAGTCCTGGTTTAGTTACCCAAGAGATAGCTCTCCTTCGGAACAGGCAATCGCTTCTTTCTTCCGATAGTAAAGCAGTCAAATTTTCTTATAACATAGCATAAAACAGAAGAGAGATTTTTGTGCACTTTTCCAGGTAAACCACGAAAGTGGTACGTTGTTGGCTGTGCAGAGCTCGTGCAATACTTGTGAGGGGGCGGCATGCGATGGCTGTTCGAATACGGTCTCTTTCTCAGTCACATGCAACAACAATACAGCTTGGCCTTTCGAGCTAGGCGGCACATTCGAGACGTTGACACAAATTGGATGTCAAGCGCTCACTTGTGAGAACATGTGTGCGACGTGCGGAACGTGTGACGCGTGCGGAGCGTGTGAGGCGTGCGGAACGTGCTAGATTTTGATGACTAATAAATGCAGTTAATAAAATGTTGGTCTTATGTTTATGACAAAACAACTTTTGCCAGAAAACCGACAAATTTCTGAAATTTTTGAACTGAAAACAGCAACTTTTACCATCACTTTTGAATGGAAATTTTGAGATGAATTATCGTTGAGATATCGTTGAAATATCGTAAACATTCTTATGCAAATTTCGTCTAAAGGAGGCTCTTCTGTTGGAATACAGACAGTATTCAAGTGAGAAATTGGATCTCTTGAACTTTTTTTCAATATAAAATGAGTCCTACTTCAAGAATTACCGAGATTTCAAGAATTCAAACCGTTTTTCCCATTCTTTGCACGGAAAACCTTGTGCAGAACTTTGTGGAAAACCTTGTGCTATCACCATTCCTTTTTCAACAACTTTTACCATCACTTTTCAATGGAAATATTGAAATGAAAAGTTTCAAATACCGTACCGTAAATACTGTAATAGTACCGCACCCCCATAATGACGGTGCGGAGTGTTGCGTAGTCTAGCTTTGAACGCGTTTTTCTCGACACTGGTTTATGCTACAGTGTTCGTTTGGTTATCAAAAGATAGCCCTGAATTTCAGCTATTTTTTGATACCAAAGCCACATTTTTTGAAAGTATCGGCGCTTTGAAAAAAATGAAATACTAAAAAACTTTTGCGACTACGCGACTGTACGAGGGGGGTGTGGTGCTATTTTACAGTATTTACGGTAAGCATTCTTATGCAAATTTTGTCTAAAGGAGGCTCTTCTATTGGAATACAGACGGTATTCAAGTGAGAAATTGGATCTCTTTAACCTTTTTTCAATATAAAATGAGTCCTACTTCAAGAATTACCGAGATTTCAAGAATCCAAGAATTCAAACCTTTTTTCCCATTCTTTCCTCGGAAAACCTTGTGCTATCACCATTTTTCTTGAAAATACAGAAGAATTTCTTGGCAACTCACGTGTGTTTTCCCTCTTTTTTTTCGACAAGTAGTCACTGTCTTTTTCGAAAAGAATGGGTAACTCTGAGTGAATCTGATTGGATACATGCCTCGTTGTTGTTATGGTGACACCACCAAAACTTTCAGTCTCTCTCTCTCTCTTCAGTCGACTATAAAATTAGTGACTACACACCATAGGAAATCTCTCTTTCTTTCTCTCTCTCTCTCTCTCTTTCTCTCTTTGTTTTCAAAGTTGAGCTGTTTAAATCAGTTTTTACGTTTGATTTTGCTCTTCTAGCTTTTTCACATCACTAGAGTAATCATTTCACAATGCCAAAATGGTTATGGAAACCGACACTGAAGAAAATGCCGGATCACGAGCCGACACCGAAAGAATATCGATGTTGTTGTGGATGTTGCACATCTCAAGTAAGACTTTTTAGAGAATCAATTTTTACTCAACTTCCAGTTTTTTCTCAATTGTTTTTGATACCAAAAAATCTTAGTTTTCAAGGGCTATTATTTGATACCCAAGTGAACACTGTAGCTTAAAGCAATGCGAGAATGAGACGTTCAAAGTTAGACTATCCCATTATGGACGACGTCATTATGGGGTGGCTTAGGAGAATCCGACTTCTAGAGTAGAACAATCCGACTTCTAGAGTAGAACAATCCGACTTCTAGAGTAGAACAATCCGACTTCTAGAGTAGGACAATCCGACTTCTAGAGTAGGACAATCCGACTTCTAGAGTAGAACAATCCGACTTCTAGAATAGAACAATCTGACTTCTAGAGTAGGACAATCCGACTTCAAGAGTAGAACAATCCGACTTCTAGAGTAGAACAATCCGACTTCTAGAGTAGAAAAATCCGACTTCTAGAGTAGGACAATCCGACTCTGGTCTACCACTCTTTTGATTTTAGTCTCTGGTTGTTGAAAGCAATAGAAAATTATGATATTTTAGTAGATAAACAAAGATTCGAGCTTCAACAAAACCATGAAACTTGTTTAAGGGTTAGTTATGGTCACATAGCTGAATTGTCAGTCAATATTTCCTACTGATTGTCAACATTTCCCACTGATTGTCAATATTTCCCACTGATTGTCAATATTTCAATATTTCCTACAATGGACAGATCCGTTCCTTATCAAAACAAAGTCTTGTTGCCCACTTTTATTTATTAGAAAGTACGCGTTTTGAACATAAGCCAGGTGCAAAAGCTAAGGAAATACTTTCAAAACACCTGCAAGATCTCCAGATCAACGTATATTCACTGTTCTCTGAATTCCAGTGTGGTTTCACCTTCCTCACCTGTTTAATGGTCATCGGCACAATATTGAGTATGGCTGCGACAGTGGCCGTTCTTTTTTACAGAGCTCCAATCACCTACTCCTATTTGTCAATGGTGAGTGATCTCCTATCTATCATATAGTACTCTTATATATTAATATATCAATAAATAAACAGGTTAAAGTTTAAAAACCTGAGTTCAGATCAATTCTATGAGCTCAGGCTCAGGCTTAGACTTTTAAGGCTACTTTGTGCTTTGAAAAGAAAACTTGAAACTTTGAATGTTCAGCTAGTCTATTGGTGAATAATGAAGCGAAGGAGTTAGCAAGAAAAAGTAGATTTCCGAAGGGGATTGAACTTTCGAGCTTTTTGCTAACAATTACTCTAACTACTGAGCTATTCGGTACTTTAAGAGTACCGAATAGATCAGTAAGAGTACCAAATAGCTCAGTAAGACTATCGAATAGCTCAGTAAGAGTACCGAATAGCTTTATAGAGCTAAGAGGGGGCTAAGAGGAAAGAGCTTCTTTCTCTTGCTAAGAGAAAGAAGGAAAAAGAAAGTTTTTTTTCCTTTTTTTTCATACTTTCATTAAAAAATAACAAATTCACCAATTAATCTATGATTTCCTCTAAATAAAAAGTGTTTATTGCTCAATTTCCCATCGTTTTAAGTCAATTTGGCTTCACTTTCAAGCAAATTCGAGAGTGGAAACGTCTTTTTTTCGTAAAATTCTATAAAAACCTCTACAAAGAAATTGGTGAAATCAATTTCTCTAAAAATTTGATTATATATAAAACTTTTTGTGCTCTATCTTTTATCTATTGACACGAAGATAGGTTTCCTTATGATTGTTAGCTAAATTGTCTAAATCGCATCAACGAGCCGTCGCCTTTTTTGACTTTTTTGACTACCCGACTTCACGCATCCAAAAAAATCCAAAAACAAGACATTTTAAACTTGTTTTAATGTTATTTTGCAGAAAAATAATTGGTCTTTCTAATGAAAGAAACGGTTTTTCAATTGGTGCACTTTTTGGGTTTTAAACGGAAGTACGAAAAGGAATGCAAAGATTTCTGGACAGCTTAATAGACCAGGCTATGCCCAGCCATTCCTATATAATGGTTTTAATGTTTTTGAAACGAAAAGGAACGAAAAGATTTATTTATCAACCTAATAATAGACTCCAATGTTAACTCCGCCGCTTTTTCGATCCGTTTGCCATTGACAATCGGCGAATTTTACTCGTATCTTAGCCAGTTTTGCTTGAATTTACTTTCATTCGAATCGAAATGAAATTTTCTATCGAATGAAAGCAAACAACGTTTTTCAAATGAATCCAATTCAAGCAAACAAACAAATACGAGTAAAATTCGTAAATTGCAAACAACAAACGGATCGAAAAATGGTCGAATTTAACAAACTAACTGGCACTTACATTACTTTAACTTTTAAATAATAAAAATCAAGATTAACATAACTGCAATGAACCTAATGATAAAGAAATTAAATCTAAAAAGAAAAATTTCAGGTTAACGCTGTCATTTCCATATTGATGACATTGATGGCCCTGCTCGCTCGCAGCACGTTAAGACCGATTTTTATGCAACTATGCTGGCTAGTTATGCTATTCAATTATGGAGTTGGAGTGGTGAATATTGTGCACGGATTGATAGTAGCACTCAATATGAATGGGTGAGGATATATTAGGTTCATGAATTGAAAACTGCGGGACTTTGAACTAAAATTTATTCAATATAAAACGATCAATTCATTCCAAATAGTTTCCATTATTATTGACGACTTCTGCCCATTTTACAGGCAATTTGCGAATTCCGCTTTCGTAGTAGGATTTTGGTTTTGAATCGAAAAACTTTCAAAGCCAATTTTTGACTGCTTCTTCCGAATCGAAGTGTTCTCCCACAAGCTCCGGATCCGGAATAAATAGTAATCAGAAGGGGCAAGGTTCGGACTGTATGGGGGATGTGCCAAAAGCTCTCAACCAAGGCTATTTGTTTTAGAGCAATTCAGTTTTGCGACATGAGGGCGCGCGTTGTCGTGGATGAGAACGATCTTTGACTTGGAGGGCCTATTCTTCTGCAGGGATTCATTCACATTTCCCAACTGTTCACTGTATTTGATTGCATTAAGGGTCGTCTTGCTATCCAGCAACTCCCAGTACACCACTTCCTCCATATCCCAGAAAACGCATAGCATAAACTTCTTCTGGTGCAAATCGAGCTTGGGGTCACTTTCGGGTTACTCGCCTGGCCCCACCCATTGCGGCTTCCTCCGCAAGTTCACAGATAAAACCCATTTCTCATCTCCCGTCACAAGTTTGAAGAAAGGATTTCCTTTCGTATCGTGAGAGATGCGCGGCACTGATGGAGCGGTGCCAAAATCCTATGAAGAGGAATTTTGGTTTGTGTGTGAGACAAGTGTGAGACTCAAAAATGGAGGACTGGAGATGTCAGCCGTCAGTCCAGTTTGAGCACTTTCTTCAAAAGAAACCCATTTTGATGTCAATAGAAAAGTTGTAGAGAATCAAAAATTAGGCTTATAGCCAAATTTCCAAAAAGATACACTCAGTAATTTCGCTTAAAATGCAAGTTTTGTTGCAAGCTTTGTGAAAATTCGTAAATTTCGCATTTCTTAAAAATCAGTTTTTGAATCGTTCTGAAAATTTGGATATAAGCTTGATTTTTGATTCTCTACAACTTTTCCATTGACACCAAAATGGGTTTCTTTTGAAGAAAGTGCTCAAACTGTCACATATGACAATAGCCGGCAGTTTTCAATTCACCAACCCAATACAATACAAAAAAGTTAGATATTCAATAGTTTTTCTATTCTCCAATAGTTTGTCGATTAAAAAGGTTTCAGGCAAAGCATTCAAATAAATGGATATCTCTACACGTATCGATCTGATCCGGTATGGATTGGTGGAAGTAAGTTTTGCGTTTGGAAGTTTGACTCAAATCATTGTTTTTGAAATGCGGCTTGTTTATATTTCTTTTAAAAATGGTTCATTTTCTAGTTGCTGGTGGAATGGGGCTGATCATGCTAGTGATTGGATTGTGGATTTTGACATGCGCTTACTCGTTTTATCGATACATTCGGTGAGTTTATTGCTTCGTGAACCCTGACCAAAAACTGATTTGGAATTTGAATATTTAAAATATTTGACTATTTAAATATAAAATATTTGAATTTTCGATACTAACGGTGAAAATAGATTAGTTATTGCTGTTTTTCGGCCAAACTATTGCCTTTTGATTCTCTAGAGATTAACAAGCGCTTCATAAATGTTTTCCAGAGATAAAAAGACAGCTTCAAAAGAATTAGGATTGAGAAAGAAGGCTTTACTCATTTTGATTGGCATAATTAGAAGGTTATAGGACATTTGATACGCACCGCGCCCCTTTTCCCATTGGCAATCCAACTTTCAGCTCAAATTTCTTGGTGTTGAGCTACCCAATTTAAATATTTTTGATATCATTGAATGCGCCAAGTCTTTCTCTATCGATTGGTGCAAAAACTATTTAAATTGCATGGCCCAACACCAAGAGATTTGAGCTCAAAGTTAGATTGCCAATGGCAAAGGGGGCGGGCGTGTATAAAAGGTGATCAGAGATCTGATAAGCCCCGCCCCCTTTGCTATTGGTAATCTAACTTTAAGCTCAAATATCTTTGTGTTAGGTTGTTTAATTTAAATAGTTTTTATACCAATCGATAGAGAAAAATTTGGCGAGTCTAATGATACCAAGAATGTTTAAATTGAACCGCTCAACACCAAGAAATTTGAGCTCAAAGTTAGATTGCCAATGGCAAAGGAGAATGACAAATCCAATTAGAACAACTTTAAGACTTTAATCAATTTCCATAATATATCTAATATATCTAATCTCCAATTCCAGAGATCGACAGTACTATTTGGAGAATAGAGGCAGCGGTGGTGGCGCGAAAAAGTTAGAACCGATTACACATCCAAAAGTCGAACAAAAAGTCGAGCATAAAGTGGAAACAGTTGTGGAAGGCTAAAACGAAACTTTATCATTCTAGATTTCTTTGAACAATTGCTTATTTTAAATTCAGACCTCAAATAAAGGAGATTCCGCTTATTTCTTTCCATTTTGTTAAAGAAACATCAAGCTTTTTTCACATAAATCTTTGGGATCAGTACCTTTTCATTAACAGATATCACACAAATCTACTCAAAGAGCAAATTTCAATATTTCATTTGTTAGATGAATTTATAGACAATAAACAAGCCCTCTGACTTGGCGACTAATTGTGGCCAATCAGGGATTTTGAGTTGAGAATTCTCTTTTTCACTGTGTTTTGGTTTTTCCAGTAACAAGTGTTTAAAATAGATCTTTGTTAGCTTCTTTATGTCTTTATTTGAAAGAAAGAAAGCTTCATGGGCTCAATAGCTTCAAGGAAAGCAAAAGAAAGCTTCAACAAGTGAAGCTTCAAATGATTCGCTTGCAGTGAAAATAGTCAAAAAGTGCGAAATCAAAGATTTTTGATGAAAACTGTTTCAAAAGTTAAATAACCAATGAAAGTATACAAAATGGTGAATACAAAGATAAACTTCCAGCCACTAAATAACGTACTTTCAAAGATCTAAATTCTGGGTCGAAATCTTACCCAAAATGTTCAATCTTTTAACCCAAAAACCCTAATTCTAAATGATTTGACAAAACGAGAGGAATAAGAAGATTCTGGATTTGTGGCCATTCTGGATTGTGGCCATTCTGGATTGTGGCCATTCTGGATTATGGCGATTCTGGATTGTGGCCATTCTGGATTGTGGCCATTCTGGATTGTGGCTTTTGGATTGTGGCGATTCTGGATTGTGGCCATTCTGGATTGTGGCCATTCTGGATTATGGCGATTCTGGATTGTGGCCATTCTGGATTGTGGCCATTCTGGATTATGGCGATTCTGGATTGTGGCCATTCTGGATTGTGGCCATTCTGGATTGTGGCTATTTTGGATTGTGGCGATTCTGGATTGTGGCCATTCTGGATTGTGGCCATTCTGGATTGTGGCCATTCTGGATTGGATTCACTGGCGTTTATAGAGAAAAGATGTTTAGATTTTTAATAACTTTATCGGTGATATTTCCAGTAGTATCTTTTCATTGGCAGACATCACACAAATCTACTCAAAGAGCTAATTTCAATACGACACGAGTCCGAAGACAAACAAAGTGGAAAGACCGGGAAAAGTCCAGAAACTTTAAAACTTTAATAATTTTAAAAGAAACAGGGAATGAGGGGTGGAAACAATACGAGGAGAAGGGAAATTTTTGACAATAGACAGAATTGTATAACATGATAGAGAAAAAGGGAAACCTAAACGCGCAGAAGACACGACGAAGCGCTGAACCGGGCAAAGATTCTTCAAAAGGATCAATTTTAACGGGATGAAACTTTATAGGGAAAATGGAGAGTACGGTAGCTTAGGTGCATTTTAGAATTGAGGGTTGGAAAGTTGTCAAGTCGAACTGTTGGAATTGGGGCTTTACTATATTTCCAGTAGTACCTTTTCATTGGCAGACATCACACAAATCGACTCAAAGAGCTAATTTCAATAGGACACGAGTTCGAAGACAAACAAAGTGAAAAGACCGGGAAAAGTACAGAAACTTTAAAACTTTAATAGTTTTAAAAGAAACAGGGAATGAGGGGTGAGAAAAATAAGAGGAGGAGGAAGATTTTTAACAATAGACAGAATTGTATAACATGATAGAGAAAAGGGGAACCTATACGCGCGAAAGACACGGCGAAGCGCTGAACTGGGCAACAATTCTTTACAAGAATGAATTTTGAAGGGTTTTTACTTCCTTTTATAGAAAGAAAGAGAGATGCCTTCTCGAGTACGGTAGCATTACACCTTACTACCTTACGGTAGTAAGCTGTATTTTAAGATTTAGTGTTGGAAAGTTGTCAACCCTTACTCGAAATACGGGAATGGCGGCTTTTATTGTCGATTGGAAAATGAGATCGCAACAAAGTCTGTCCTCGTTTCTTCATTGTTTATAAGCAATTGTTGACAATACATCTACTATCAATGGTTTAAAATTCCCTTTTTACTTCCAAAAGATCAATGAAATCAATCCTACATTTCTTGAATTCCCAAAAAACATACAAGCAATAACAGAAGTAACAAAACTCAAGTGGATACTTATTTTTCATGTTTGCACACATCAACTTTATAACCAAAAGGGAAAGAAAAAGAAGAAATGGAAAAAGACAAGAGAAGAGACGAGGAAATTCTAGCCATTAGCCAAGCCAAATATTCTGTATGTAAGCCCTGTTCAAACACTCACTAAATTAAGTAAAACTTTCAAATGCTATTTATTCTAATATCTGTAACATTTTTACCGAAATTCGCTACAACAACTTTGCTGAATGGTACAGAATCTCGTGGTAAGCTCAATTTTGATATATCTTTTTTCGTCGTAAGCTTTTTTTTTCAATTTCAGCTTAAAGCTTTAGAAGAGTACAACGATTTCTTGATGCATTCGAAATTTCTTTACGATTATTTATTCAAACAAAAAGATTACAGTAATAGTCTAGCACCGGTTTACACAAAAAGTTCAAATGGTAAGATGGAATGTTTATAAACTTTAAAATCGAATCCATTTCCAGTCATACCTCGATTCAACGTTCAGATCATTCTCTCATACGCTCGGATTTTGGATATTGTATATCTTTTTCTTTTCTTTTTCTTTTTCTATTATTGGGTTGGTGAATTGAAAACTGCCGGACTTTGCACTAAAATTTATCCAACATAAAACCATAAATTCATTCCAAATAATTTCCATTATTATTGACGATTTCTGCCCATTTTACAGCCAATTTGCGGATTCCTCTTTCGTAGTAGGATTTTGGTTTTGAATCGAAAAACTTTCAAAGCCAATTTTTGACTGTTTCTTCCGAATCGAAGTGTTCTCAAGCGCATTACTCATGATCCGGAATAAATAGTAATCAGAAGGGGCAAGGTCCGGACTGTATGGGGGATGTGCCAAAAGTTCCCAACCAAGGCTGTTTATTCTAGAGCGAGTCAGTTTTGCAACATGAGGGCGCGCGTTGTCGTGGATGAGAACGATCTTTGACTTGGAGGGCCTATTCTTCTGCAGGGATTCATTCACCTTTCCCAACTGTTTACCGTATTTCATTGCATTAACGGTCGTCTTGCTATCCAGCAACTCCTAGTACACCACTTCCCCCATATCCCAAAGTGCTCAAACTGTGACATATGACAATAGACAATACGATTTTGGTTTGTGTGTGAGACAAGTGTGAGACTCAAAAATGGAGGACTGGAGATGTCAGCCGTCAGTCCAGTTTGAGCACTTTCTTCAAAAGAAACCCATTTTGATGTCAATAGGAAAGTTGTAGAGAATCAAAAATTAGGCTTATAGCCAAATTTCCAAAAAGATACGCTCAGTAGTTTCGCTTAAAATGCCAGTTTTGTTGCCGGCTTTGTGAAAATTCGTAAATTTGGCATTTCTTAAAAATCAGTTTTTGAATCGTTCTGAAAATTAGGATATAAGCTTGATTTTTGATTCTCTACAACTTTTCCATTGACACCAAAATGGGTTTCTTTTGAAGAAAGTGCTCAAACTGGCACATATGACATAGCCCGCAGTTTTCAATTCACCAACCCAATACGTAAAGTGTTTTTGTAGGATCCTGATGCGCAAAAGTTTTCATTAATGGTGCAAACGTTTAATGTAAGTTTGATTGGCGTTTTGTTTATCATAAAACTAAAATTTTTGACTTAAAAACTCAAGTAGTCTTAAAAGTAGTCAAGTAAAGCTTTGGTATTGAAAAATAAATCATTTTCAAAAAATTTTCTCGAATAAATCATTTTCAAAACATGTAAATTAAAAAAAAATTATGGTAAACTTTCCTTTTGCAAATTCCCTTTGCTTCCAATGCCTCTTTATCAAATTCATTTCCCGTTAGAGCCGCTAGATTATGGAACTTGCTCCCAAACGACATACGAGAAATTCAGTCGCTTTTCATATTCAAGAAACGTATCGATGCTTTAGATCTAGTGGCTCTTTGCCGTAAGTAATTGGCTTATTGATTTCAGTATGTATTGTATGATTAAGCATCACTGTGCATTTCTCTATGATTTCTTTCACTTTATCGTTTGAATATAGTATTATTATTATTATAAACTTGGTAAACTTGCTATCAAATTGATGTTTTTGATATTATTTTAATGTTTTGGTAATCCTTTTAAATCCTTATAGAATAAAAAATAAGAAAGTTAAATAAAAAGTTAGATTACGATAGGTTTCTAAAATTATATTGGGTTGATGGAAAAGTCCTTTCCGATTTTTTGGGAGACTACCTTAAATTTGTCGAATTTTGACGTTTCATAGCTCATCCTAAAGCTGAATTCAAGACGGATCGATTGGTAAAAACCGTTTTGAGATATCTCTTTTCTAAAAGTTTTTACAGCTATTTTAGTAAAGGGCGGCAGAGCCAAAAAATCGCTGTTTTCAGGTTTCGTTAGTTTTCCATGCAGAAACCTAGGCTAAAAACATGTGCTTTAATCTTTTAAACCTACATTTTGTTTTGAATTTGAATAACCGGTGCTACACCACCGGTAATCCCCTCGAAAAAGCGATGCTGGTTTGCGGAGTTATAACTTTCGATGTTGACATCGTATTTATAAGTGCTATATAGCATTTGAAAGTTCTCATTAAGCTCTACAAATTATACTATAAGACTTTAAAAAATACGATAGTTTTAGCCAACTTTTAGGGGCTTGAATTTAGCGGAAAAATTTAGCGGAGAAATCCAGGAGGAAAATTTTGTGTGATTTTCAGAGCAATTTTTGAATAACAGAGACGCTTCAAATCGTTCTAAAACCATGTTTTTCGGCAAGAACACAAAAAATGACCCAGAGAAAGTTGTTAGTTACATGTTTTTGTTTTTAGCCTAGGTTTCTGCACGGAAAACTAACGAAACGTGAAAACAGCGATTTTTTGGCTCTACCGCCCTTTACTAAAATGGCTGTAAAAACTTTTAGAAAAGAGATATCTCAAAACGGTTTTTACCAATCGATCCGTCTTGAATTCAGCTTTAGGATGAGCTATGAAACGTCAAAATTCGACAAATTTAAGGTACTCTCCCAAAAAATCGGAAAGGACTTTTCCATCAACCCAATGGAAAACATTAATCAAGAAAAACACAATCATTCTGATAAATTATTGTTGCTTTACACTTTTCTCAATAAATTCTTCAGATATCTCATAATTATTCTTAATTCTACTTCTTTTTCCATCATGAACTTTTAGCTTTGGAGTGATCCTCGACTTGTTTGGAATCCGAGTAACTTTTCCGAGATTACGAATATTTTTGTGAATGCTGGTGATGTCTGGATACCGCAGAATACTTTAGCTGACTCGTAAGTAAATGACAATTGAAGTAAATGACGAGTAAAAATGACAGTTGAAGTAAATGACGTAAGTAAATTTGAAGTAAACTCTTTGACAGTGACGCCAAGTAGTCTGATTCCAGTTTCACTGTCACTGACGTTCTTCCCGATTACAGAAGAACCGTGCAAATTCTGGCAAATGGTACAATAATCTACGTATCGAAAGTCTACGTGGAAACGATTTGCGATTTGAAGGTAGTGCAATCCTTATGAGATTTCCTTATAGAAAACCACAACTTCCTTAGTGAATTTAATATAAAAGCATAGCGAAAATCTCGGTCAAAGTCAGACTACCTACCTGAAAGGGTCGATCCACTTAAATAATCTATAACTTAAGATGTAAAAGTTGAATCAACTCTAGGTTACTTTTATTAGAATCTACATTAAATTTGAGTAAAGAAATATAGAATTTGTTTTGCAAACTTACTAATAAAAATATAGAGAAAATTAGGATCAAAGTCGAGATAAGTGTCTAGTACTGAAACCGAAGTTTCACGACTCTTCTCTTTTCCTCCAAATCTCCACTTCCAGTTGACCGATCAACTTGTGGTTGGTCTTAAAATGTTCCTTATGAAATTTCGTACTAGAAATCGACAACCTCCTTAGTAACTTGAAGATAAAAACAGGAAGAAAATCTCGGTCAAACTTGGACTAAATTCCTGCCAGCAGGAATTTGGTTACCAACTTTTCATTTCTCATTATTGAGTTCAGTTGGGAAAATTCCCATTCGATCATCAAGATTGCCCGATTCGTTTTATTGTGAACTCATATCCGGAATTCTTGGTAACAGCGAGCGGAATGCTTGAACCATTTGATGTTCCGAACACAACGGTGAGGCTGAAACAAATCGTTTCAATTGAGTAAAGATTCATTTAACTCCTTTAACCCCTCCAAAGCCTGGTATTTTCAGTCAGAAGTTCACTATTGAAGAAACGAATGCATTCTAAAGATCAAAAGTGTTCAAAATATGTCTTTTTCAGAATCGTTTTCTCAATCAATTCAACCTTTTTGCAAAGATTTCCCAACCAACGCGCCTGATTCAATTGTTTATGATAAGATTTATCCTTGACGTAATTAACTATTGCTAGTGCATTTCCATCTGGCTCAACCAGGCCCTGGGCCAACCCTGAAACGTTGGAAGACAACCAATGAATTAAAATGAAATCCTTTGCGTAAGAAAAGTTCAGAGCCCTTAACTAACTGCTCAACTAGAAGTTGTTCTAAAGAAAAAACAAAACAAAAGCTGGATCAGGGACCGAATCATGATCCTGTGGCTGGAAGGCTAAAGCGTTACCGACTAGGCCACGGATCCACTAGGCAAATGAATTAAAATGAAACCCTTTGCTTAAGAAAAGTTCAGAGCCCCTAAATTTTGCTTAACTAAAAGTTGTTCTAAAGAAAAAATAAAAATAAAAAGCTGCATGTGGGACCGAACGATGATCCTGTGGGCGGAAGGGTAAAGCGTTATCCACTAGGCCAAGCACGAACATGTTCGCGGCAAAGAAAGAGCCTTTTAAAGCATTCGTTTTGACAATTTTCGATTAAAGTTTTACAAGCCTGAAAAGTCATTTGGCAGATTTTGATTTCAGATTCGGATTCCTCATTTCCGATTCTATAAGGTGTGCAAACAAAAGCTCACCTTGAGTTCGTGCCTTTCCCTAGTAAGGCTTTCAAAAGTTTTAGAGCACTTCTGAATGGCATGCAATCGGGATCACTTATTCTCATTATGTGGACAACACAAATCCAGACACTGCCTTTGAATCGGTTGACTCACTTTTAAGACAAAAAAATAACAAAAATCTAGATAGTATTCACTTTTCATCTGAAACGAGTCCCCGAATTCTATATCTATGTGATCATTCTACCTTGTTCAACACTTTCAATTTTATCTATAATTGGAATGTTCTGGAACGCGAATCTTCAGGAACAGCAACTTGAAAAAGTTGGTTGCAAGTCTTTGAAATTGTTATTAAACGAATTCAGCTATCAATCGGTTTAACAAGTCTAATGTCGATGACGGTTTTGCTTGACATTGTTGCCACATCAGTGCCTAAAACTAAAGTGATACCATTGTTAGGTAAATCATCAAAGAAAAAGCTCACTCGCAAGGTTTCCCGACTCGAATAATTGCTCAAAAGTCTGTTACCGTCACTTTGATGCCATTTTCTCATCATAGATCTATTGTAGTCTTTCTTTTATTTATCCAGCACACATCAACACAAATAATTGTTTGCCACTGCGGGAATTTTGGACACGCGCTTCTCCTAAACTTCACCCAACTTCTAGTAAAGAAAAAACCCTGATAAGGGAAAACGATTAATCTATCGGGATCGAACCTTTGACCTTTTGACTAACAAGGGAATGGTTAGAAGTGAGATTTCGGTACCAAAATGAGATGCCAACACCGATTGAATACGGCGAGTACGATGGTGCTTTCGTATTTTGCCAAGAAGCGCCAGTTTTCGACAACAATTGCTTTGAAGTTTCAGCGTTTACACAAAAACGACTGCTGTAGATGACTGGTTAGGAGTCTTGTCTCTTAGTCCTTCCATAAAGGGACTTCTTTTAGGCAGACAAAATGTCTCCTCGTGGTCAGCGAGCTCTCGCTTTCCATTTTTGCGACCCCTGGCTCAGTTCCGGCCAGCGCCACTTTTTTTTGCCTCTTTTCCATACTCTTTATATTATACATTAAGAGTTATAGAACTTTTAGTGTCGTTATTCTGATTACACGTCGACTTATTCAGGTCAATTTGATACTCCCCTTGAGATATGTTTTAAGAAATTGTACATTTGGTGTCAAAATCTCACTGGCAGAGTGCCCTTGTAAGAGTTGTTTTTGTTTTTTCTTTAGAACATTCCCTTGTAAGAGACAAGACTCCTAACCAGTCACCAGCAGAATTTTAACTCTTTCTGGTCGAGATTACGGTAGCCATAGCACGGTTTACAGCGGCTTTTAGTGTTCGGCAAAACTCGGCAAAACAAACTCGCAAACTTTTAGGCGTTTTCGTCTTGGTTTGCGTTTTCATTATTGGTTTCGGCTGTGTTTTGCTGGTGATCGTTCATCCAGAGAAAAAGGAAAGGAAAAGGTAGAATTTGAGCAAAAAAAAGTAACACATATTTTCCCTTAGATCAAATGATAAATGGCAACAAAAATTGGTGCACCATTTTCTGCAACGGCATTTCCTTCTTCATTTGGCTTTTCAACTAGGAAACTTGATCAATTTGATTGTCACGTTGTCGTTTTGGGAATGAAGCAAAAGCTTTTTCTTTGCTAGACAGAAAATCCTCTTTTTACTTGCTTCGAACTGTTGGTATAAAAGGGTTTGCTTGAAATAAAATTAAAAAGAAAGATTTTAAACTAAAGTTCTTTACTTCTTTACTTTCTATTTTAATCATACGGAAACTTGGTTCTATTGCTTGAATTACCGTATTTTCTGTAATAGTAGTGCAGTCTATAATAGTAGTGCAGTCTGTAATAGTAGTGCAGGCTGGAGGGGGGTTGAAAAAATAGTAGTGCGCACTACTATTACAGAAAATACGGTAGCCAGTTTTTGTTCAACAATTGACTGTCAAAAATCGGAATCCAGAGAGCAAAGTAAAGAGAAGACAATGAAAGAAACCGCGAAAAGAAAATTTACATACGAAATCTCCGCTGACCATCTCTTGCCATATACCTGATTCTAAAAATCTTCTTCGTAAAAAATCGTATTCTTTAAATGACCGATGCTAATACCGTATTCTCTCTAATTCTCTCTTTATTTCGCTACCATAATTATGATAACGATATAGTAGCTGCGGAAAACACAAATCTTTCTTGAATCCAGATTTTTTGAGGATTCGTCGAACCGAAGTTGCTCCGATCCCAATAGCGGTGGCGATTTTCCGAGTCGAGTTCTTCGTGGTGGTTGCATTCCTCTTGGGTCTTGAGAAGCTCTTTTTTCGATTTGTCAAAGTGTTGGCTGTAGATTGGCGTCCTCTTCCTTTGCGGTCTTCATTCGTTCCCGTTTCGTTGAAGCGTTTTATAGCGCGGATAAAATACCTCTTTCTTCTCTTGCAAAAGTTGTAAAATTTTAGCAAATTTATAACTTTTTGTAGAGTTGAGCAAATTTGATGTTTTTTGTATCAAAATGTTCGTAAGAGTCTCTAGAATGAAAGTTATTTCTTTGTTTTTGGTTCTAGACCCTCGTTGTCGAGTTACGAGCTCCAAACTGCAGGGTACCACAAAATTTCCCATACAAAATGACCAAAAAACCGCTAAAACTAAATTTTAAAAATTTCTGTCAGAGGGATTTGAAAAATTCCTTCAAATTCGGAATCAGCACAATTTTCCGCATCTAAAAAAGGTACTCCCAGAAAAAAAAACGCATTTTTGCCTTATTTCGCGCCGATGTGTGCCGTCAATACTGTAATAGTACCGCACCCCCATAATGACGGTGCGGAGTAGAGTGTGCTCCTTGTTGACAGACAATTTGTCAGACAAATTTTCATTGACAACTTTTTTGTCAGACAATTGATCCGACAAACTTCCGACAACGCGTTTTCTAAAAGGTGCGCTTTTTAAGCAAAGCTATAAAGGTCGCGCGAAAAAAAATTTGCAAACTTTTCTTAAAATGTAGTAATGGATAGTTTTATTTAAGGGTTTAGGTTTTTTAGGGCGTGGACTTTTTTTGGAATGGTTCTAGTGCAAATGTAGACAATAGGCCTGGTAAATTCGTAAATAATATCATTTTTTGATAGTGTTTCTTAACTTTTCCCGTTTTAAATGTTTTCTTTAATTTTACATAGCATTTAAAAAATTTTAAGTTTTAGCGAAAGAGGAATAGAGTTAAGGAAAGTGTAATAGAGTTAAGGAAAGAGTAATAGAAAAAAAGAGCGCAAGATTTTAATGTACATTTGCATTTTGAAAAATTTGCTGATGCAAAGCATAGGGTTACGGTAGCTTATCCTTGGCGCGCGCTTTTTAGAAAACGCGTTGTCTGCAAGGAACACACTCTAGTGCGGAGTGTTGTGTAGTCTAGCTTTGAACGAGTTTTTCTCGACACTGATTTATGCTACAATGCGCGTTTAGGTATCAAAAAATAGCTGAAATTCAGAGCTATTTTTTGATACCAAAGACGCATTTTTTGAAAGTACGGGTGCTTTGCAAAAAATGAAATGCGCGACTACGCGACTGTACGAGGGGGTTGGGGTACTATTAGAGTATTTACGGTGAATATTCTTTAATAACATTTATTAAAGAACATTATTAAAGACATTATGATAAAATTTATTAAAGAAAAGAAATTTTGCTTTTCAAATTCACTCATTTCTGTGATTTTTACTCTTTGACAAAGTCAGGGTTCGACAGCATAACTTCCTTTCCGTGAAGATCTGAATTTTGTGTGGAATCGGCCTTTCTCCTTTGCTCAACCATTGTCTTTTGCGTGTTGTATTATTGAAATATGTCCACTTTTCGTTCATCATCAACATGCTTTCAGGAAAAGCACCGCCCGTAGCCTTTTTCAATAGAATCCGAGACAATAAAACTCGATTGGCTTTTTTCAGGAGATAATTCATGTAGGACCCATTGGCCGCAACAATTCCTTTTTCAAATGAGCTAAGGGTGTCGAGAAATTGTGCTCGGATAACATTTAAAGTATTCGGCTAATTCGGGCAAAGTTTGAGTTGGATCCAACTCAACAATCTCCAGCAACTCCGCATTATCGAAGACAACTGGACAATATCCATGAGGCTCGTCTTCCAAGCTGTCATCCCCTTCACAAAAACTTTGAAACCATTCCTAGCAAGTCCTTTCACTCAAAATGTTTTCTCCGAATGCTTCACAAAGATTCCGGTGCGACTTCGATGCTCATTTCTTCATTTTGAAGTCATAGAGAAGACACGCCCGCAACCCGAGTTTTTGATCCGTCATCTTGGACCTAAGATTATGTAATATTTAATGATAGCAATAGTTGTGAAAATAATTAAAATGAATAATATAATAATACAATATAATACAATTTAAACCGGATCATCACACTTTCAAATAAAAAAAAAACTTTGGTCCGCGGAAGTAACTCGCAGTTTTCTTTTGCAAGTACCTAATATTAAAGAAAAGAAATTTTGCTTTTCAAATTCACTCATTTCTATGATTTTTACTCTTTGACAAAGTCAGAACTCTAAGAGAGTCTCTAAGAGTTCACAAAGTCACAAAGATTTATCGGGATAGGATCTCTTGTTAGCATTTGATAGGGATTAGGTAAATAAACGGGAAACTTGAGAAAAGAAAAAAGAGAAAAAGGAAAAAAGGATCACATTGAAGCCTCGATTATTGGATTTCACTCAAAGAAACATGCTTAATTTTTCGACATTACCCGAACGCTTGAAACCAAGAATATTCAAGAATTTGACTCTACGAGATTCATTGAAATTGCTGTCTGTTAATCGAGCGCTTCGAGAGGGAATTTTACAAAATGGCCCGATTACGGATAAAATCGAGAAAGTTGATCTGTGTGTTTACAAGAAGAATTCGGAAAATGTCGATTATTTAGAGTTTGGGCTGATCATTGTGGCTAAAAGTCTTTTCAATAATTCTTATTCCTTTGAATCTTTTACATATTCACTTTTTGATGACTCTTTAAAAGTTGATGATCCTTCTCAAAGCGATTTGGAGAATCGTGGTTTGATTTCATTGCATAAAAATCTAAAAGGATTTTGGTTTCTTATGAAAAAAGTGAAATTCGTTGAAAAGCTTTGCTTTCGCGTTGATCAGTTCTCGAATTTGAACACAAAAGATTCCCCTTTTATTCAAGAATTTCTGGATAAAAAATTTCCGAAACTAAAAGAAATCTCAAATTTGAAAACGATTCTAAATCTTGAAAATGTTTCTTATTTTTTGGAAAACTTTAAACCAAAAGTTTTGGATAATTTCGAGCTTGCAATCAAGTGGGAAAATGATGGAGATGATGGAGTTGGAGGTGGAGTTGGAGATGGAGTTGGAGATGGAGTTGGAGATGG